TTATGTTTGATTTCATTAAAATGATCAATTAATATTGTTTTACATATTTATGAGTACTAAGTGGTCTCATTAACCAAGATTGAAGTTTCGCTTGAGAATTTTTTGGAAAAGAAAAAGGCTTGAGAATTATTAATTTAATACGTGGCTTATATTTGATGGTGTTCAGGGCTTTGTTCGAGATGGAGCGAAAAATATACGCACCACAGCCTTATAAGAAATACCTAAAATATAATTAGGCTGACTTGACCCGACCTAACTCGTCGATCAGGTTGTTTACTCAGGCAGGATGGGTAATGCACGTGACACAAATTGCACTCGACCCATCTCGGTTGGGTCGGTTTGCAGCTCAAGCAGGCATGTAGGGCGATGGGAGAGGAGGGGTATACAGGAAACGTGTAATACATCGATAAATAGGGTATCTTCTCGGAAAGTAATCTAGAAGGTTCCACTACAATTCCTAATCAATTTCTCTCGGGTCAGTTTGGAGCTTGTGACCCATCTTCATAAACCATGGAGTCGCGGGCCATCCTCACTTGATCGAGGACGGCTTCGCCGAGAGCGGCTTCCCCCTCCGCAACGTCACCTCCCGGATTCTTACCAAGGTCATTAATTACCGCAACTAGCACGCCACCGTCTCCTCCGCCGAGGCCGACTCCGGCGAGGATGGAGCCGTCGCAGACGACGACCTCGAGGTCAAGAGGGCCATCCTGTACCGTGCTAAGCTTGGCTCGACTCTCTCCCTTTTCACTTCCCTTTTGAGCTTGGTCATTAGTTGTTCTCCACCGTTAATCTTTCGTAGTTTGATCGAAAGTGGTTCTTGAGATGCTAGTTCTTTTTCTTTATACTTGTTAACTTTTGCGATAAGTTTTGATTCCTCTTAGTATGCTTCTTCATCGTGTGATTGTTCTTGTTTCTTTTTTCTTTTTGGTTCTTGATTTTGCATTCGATGGTTCGATCCAAGTTTTTTCGTTTGTTTTCTGTTGATGCTTCTTGATTCTGTAATAGTTTGTTTTCCTTGATATCTTGGTTCTTCTTCGTCATGCTTCTTGATATTGTATTAAATGTTGGTTAGTATTGCGTTTCTTATATTATATGAATGAGTTCTTTTATTTGTCTTCCTGTTAATTCTATTTTGGGGCCGTTTACATCGATGTTGATTGATTAGCTGCCGGCGTAATAATCCATGATGTAGCTCGGGCGGGATGGGTACCTAACTGACCACACTTTGATCCGAACCACTTTGGTGCTTGGTGGGGCCCGCTCTCGGCTCTGATACGCTGGTGAGGGCAGGAGGAGGGTATAGAAGAAACAATCTTTTCGGAAGAGTGATCTAGAAAATTCCATTAAATCAACTATTCGAGTTCTCTCGAGTCGTTTTGGTTGCTCCTCTTTGTAAATAGAGTGATGGATGTGGTGATAGCGAGGCCTAGGATGGCGCGTTCATCGAGGTCGATTGGGCCACCCTCTATGGTACTAATCTTTGGATCGACTCTCTCCCTTTTCACTCGCTCTTGAGGGTTGGTCTTTGGTTGTGTTCCTGCCTTCTTTAGCAGTTTGATCAAGTGGTTCTTTAGATCCTGGTCCTTTATCTCTGTACTTTGCGATAGGTTTTGATTCCTCTTCGCCTCTTGATCATGTGATGGTTCTTGTTTCTTTTTTCTTTAAGGTTCTTGATTTTGCATTCGACGGTTTGATCCAAGTTGTTTCTTGTCGGTTCTTTCTCTTTATGCTTCTTGATTCTGTAACAGGTTGTTTTGCTTTGCATCCTTGTTCTTCTTCATCCTTGGCATTGTACTAGATGTTGGTTAGTTTCTTTATCTTAATTCATGCTTTATGAACGAGGTCTTTAATTTATATTTTGGTCGATTTTATTTTGAAGGCGCCTATATCGATGTTGATAAATTAATCCATGTAGTTTAAAACGAGTTCATGATTGAGTTGATGACGCAAGAAAGTAATACACTCTGTGGTGTAGATTAGTTCACTCTGTGGTAGCAGTTAATCTCCAATTAGCCTCGAGTAGATTAGTGCATTTTGTGGCGTAGCAATCAATCTTCAACTAGTCTCATTGTGGAGCAACATATAAGTAAACCAGTAACAATATCTCCAATAACAGAAGTCTTAGAATAGGTTTCATGTAAATTAGAAGTCATTATGATTAAGGGCTACAAAAATCGTATATATAAATAGCTATATATGTATAAATATTTGGGGTAGGTATCTTTGTGTTCTAATTGGATGAGGATTGGGACTAGGATCAAACTTTAATTCGGAATGGGATATATACAAAATATAAATAGGCTAACCCGAACTAGCTCATTGATCATATGGTTTGGTCGGACGGTATGGTTACATAACTAACCTCACTTGGATCCGAACCAAAGGTTTGAGGACGGACATATTGTACTTTAAGAAAATTAATCGACAGTGTTAGGAATGAATTATCTAATTAGATATCAAAAAGAAATGAATGGAATAGACCAAGATAATTTGAAAAATCTCTTGCCATAATTTACTATGCCATGAGATTGTTGTATCCATGTTGACGCTCTAGTTGAAATGATGCGGGAGCATTCTTGGTTGTGTTTAGTTGTTTTCATCATGTTTCTCAAGATGATTGGGTATACCTAATTTTCCTCGGTTTAAGCAAGCTAGTTCATGAATTATTGTGTTATACCATATCTTTTAGATCATTCCAAGCAAGCGGAACGTCTTCAATATATATAGTGACATCAATTATTCGTCCAAATGAATGCGACATTTAATATTTTTGAATTTTTCTACCTCTTATTTTTTTCTTTAATTATGTTCAGTGCTTTATGACAACACTGAGTCATTCCGTAAATTATTTGTTTGTTTTTTAAACACTCTGATCATGTTTTCTTCGATTCCTTCTTCTACGTGTTCATTGTTTATAAAAATGCGACATGTACAACTTCAATGTTTTGTTGGTTAACTGATTAGTTCTTTTCATATGTTGCATTTCCAACTCGCCCTTAAGTTTCCTGACAAAACTACTTTAAGCTGTACTGAAAAATGTATCATGCCTGATCTCTGAGTTGCATTTATCTAGTTGGATCCTGTCCTCTGACTAATGTGTATACTGAACATTTAATAAGTAGTTTTATTATAGAATGATAGAATGGAATATTGTTTTATTGCAAATAAGGCTGTTGTTGTGAGGCCCACCTTTATTGCAAATAAGTGTGTGTTTGCTTAATATTTTTTCATTGCTTGATGTGCTTGACGATGTGAAAATCTTGTGTAACTATAGTGTTATAGTTATATACAACTACAGTTATAGTATAACCATAGTTATACCAGTATCACTATAGTTATACTATAGTTTTTCACAACATCAAGCATATAGAAATACTAAAGATCATTGTTGTAAGTTGTCCTAATCTTTTGCAGATATTGAAAACCAATCTCGGTTTGAGGCTTTTGTGTCACCTTTTTCCTATTGTTTGTCTAAAAATAATAACTTTATTATATTTCTGGTAATTGGACTTGATGGAAATTTTAGGTATAATTTTGTAATTTATATTTACAAAATTTGGCAAGTTTTCGACAGACTTTTTCTCTATTTAGCAAATTCACGGAATCTTGAAGTCGTTTCAATCCGAATTAGTTTTGTTCGGGTTTTATGATGAAAGGAACTTTGTTGTGTTTCAATTCGAATTATCTCAAAATCTCAAGATGCAATGATTTCCAATCTTAAATCTTCAAAGCTGAGAGAAAAAATTGAACTATATTGCAATCATTTCAAAAAATATTTGAAAATTTGCATTTTGAGTCAATGACAAAAACTGCATACAAAGTTGGAAAAAATTTCTTTACTTCAGGTTTGAACTATTTCTTTGCGTTTACGTTTTACAAAGTCGTTAACGTAACTGAAAAAAATTGAAATATCTAACTCAAATTTTTTGCAATTGGCGTGGAAGAAAAATATCTAACTGCGACAGAATTTTCACCGTCCAAAACAAAATAAGTGAAAAAAAAAACTCTCTAGTTAAAACGTGGAAGTTATTTTTCTAGCGAGCCATTTTGGCCGATGTCCGATAAAGTGATTTCCCGTGGCTGTGAATTTAATAACGATGCTTTTTGCTTTGGACTGCCATTAACTCAAAGCAAGAAATCTATCCTAAATTTTGCCCTCTTCGCTTTTTCTTTTTTTATTTTGCAACAAAAGAAAATTTCAACAACATAATTTGGTGGTCAAAAGTAATATCCCAAGTTCATAGACGCTTTATCCAACCTAATTTAAGGATGAATAATAATGAGTTTATACATTAAATTCAATCCAATTCAATTGAAATAAGGATCAAATCCAACGCATGCATCCCAACTCTCAATCCAACCTAATTACCACGAGTTATTTAGATATATCTCAATCCAACCTTTACCAAGGATTATTTAAGGACTAGAATCATATAAAGAACGAGTCGCAAGTTCAAGTTCAGGTAAATTGATCTTGATCAGGAGAAACAATTTGTGGAATCCAAGTTTGAACGCTGGGGCATAGATCAGGTCTAGATAATTAAAATGACACTTTTAAAATCACGTCAATTCGGGCTTAATATTCCATTTTATATTATGTTGTCAATTTTTCTTTACACAGTCTTTTGGTGTTCATTTAAAAATCTCCTCCATATGTTTGATTGGTTCCGAATCTTTTATTTATCTTCTGTCTTGTGTCATTCAACTAATTCTCATACTTCCATGTCCTGCTCTTGAACCTAGTGTTACCAGTTACGCAGATGTTACTTCACAACGGGAGCAATTGGAGACAGTAATTATAAACTCGTTTAAGCTAACTCTTGAATTATGACACTAGTAGCTAATCGACCAACTTCGTTGAACGCAACCCCCAAAAGATCAACCGGCCTACAGATTAAAGAGCTAATTTATACATTGCAATTAAGATGCATAAAAACAGAACCAGCACCAGCATCTTGTGCAATATCAAGAAGCATGATGAAGGATAGAGAAAGAGATAGCATCAATATGAATCCGACCATCTTATGCAAAACCAAGAAGCATAAAGAAGAAACAAGACCCATCGTCAGATCAAGAAGCATAAAGGAAAAGAACCAAAATCTGCCGTCAAATCAAGAACTATTAAGGAAAAAGAAACAAGAACTACCACATGATCAGAGGCGAAGGGGAATCAATACCTATTGAAAATTATAAAGAAAACGGACCAGCATCTCAAGAACCACTTGATAAGACTACCAAAGAACGCAGGAACACAACCAAAGACAACCTCAAAAGGGACTGAAAAGGGAGAGAATCGAGCCAAGATTCGTACCATAGAGGGTGGCCCGATCGACCTCGTCGAACGCGCCATCCTAGGCCTCGCTCCATCCTCGGCGGAGGCGGTGGTGACGTTGTGGAGGAGCAAGACGACAAAGCACCAATATGAATTGGACCATCTTCTGCAAAACCAAGACGCATAAAAAAGAAACAAGACCCATCGTCACATCAAGAAGCATAAAGGAAAATAACCTAAACCTGCCGTCAAATCAAGAAATATTACGGAAAAAAACAACCAGTATCTCAAGAAGCACCGTGAAAGAACACCACAAAGAAACAAAGCTAAGACAAATCTGAAAAAGGGTTGAAAAGGGAGAGAGCCGAAACAAGATGAGATGCTAGTGGTAGAGGTTACCCCGGTCAACATCAACGAATGCACCGCCCCAACCCTCGAGGTTTTCGTCCGCGACCACCACATTCTCATCGGAGTCGACGTCCGCGGATGACACGGCAACCCGCTAGTTGTGCGGTGATCGATGGCCTAAGCGAGGCTAGGGACGGTGACATTGTGGAGAGGGAAACCACTCTCGGAGTAGCCATGACATTGTGGCTAGGGAGGTGATCATGGCCCATGTCACCTCCAGATCGAACTCCTCACCGGCCCCAAGACACCTCGTCCACAGCCGACGCATTCAGATCGATCGCCGTGGAGATCTCCGCTCTCTCTCGATGATCGCAGTCAACAACCACCCCTCTCATTTTATCTCTACCACTACTACCACTATATTTATAAAAAGGAGCATGGTCACAAGAACCAAACCGACTCGAGAGAACCCGAATCGTTGATTGAATAGAATTTTCTAGATCACCCTTGTGAAAAAGATTATTTCTTCTATACCCTCCTCCTACCCTCACCAAGCCTATCAGAGACGAGAGAGGGCCCCACCATGCATCAAAGTGGTTCGGATCCTAGTGGGGTCAGGTACGTACCCATCCCGCCCGACCAAACCATCCGATCAGTTAGTCGGGTCGGGTTAGCCAAATTATATTTTCTATATTTCTCGATCCGAATTAAATCGGTTGGGTTGGGTTAAGGTTTGACCCTCATCCCAAGCCACATCCAATTATAGCACGAACAAACCCACCCCAATTATGTATATATACATGCATACGCGTCTACATATATTGTATCTCTACAGTCATTTATATATACGATTTTTCTAGCCCTTAATCATAATGACTTGTAATTTATATGAAACCTATTCTATGACTTATGGTATGAGATGATGTTTCTAGATACATATATGTTACTCCACAATGAGACTAATTACAGATTAACTGTTGTGCCACAAAATGCAGTAATCTACTCGAGACTAATTGGAGATTAACTGCTACGCCTCAAAATGAACCGTGAGTCTGACAAACTGGGTTGGTTGCCCAATGTATGTGATCCACTGCCCAAAGTCTTGATGCATGGTATTCTGTTGGAAGCTCAGAAGGGGAAAATAGGAAAAACGACACTAAGTTCCAAGTTCCTTATCCGAAGCCACACTAACTCAATCATGAACTGATTAAGCTACATCATGGATTATTACACTAGCAGCTAATCAATCAACATCGATGTAAGCGGGCCCAAAATAGAATCAACCAGAACACAAATTAAAGAACTCGTTCGTATAATATGAACTAAGGAACGTAAAGAAACTAACCAACATTTAGTACAATATCAAGAATCATGATGATGAAGAACCAAGATACAAAGGAAAACAACATATTGCAGAATCAAGAAGCATCAAGAGAAAGAACCGACAAAAACAACTTGGATCGAACCGTCGAATGCAAAATCAAGAACCATAAAGAAGAAAGAAACGAGAACTATCACACGATCAAAAAGCATACGAAGAGGAATCAAAACTCATCGCAAAAGTCTATGTATGAAGAAAGAGAACTAGCATCTCAAGAACCACTTCCGATCAAACTACGAAAGATTAACGCAGGAGAACAACTACAGACCAAGCTCAAAAGGGAAGTGAAAAGGGAGAGAGTCGGGCCAAGAATAGTACCGTAGAGGATGGCCCTATCGACCTCGACGAACGCGCCATCGCTAGGTCTGCGACGGCTCCATCCTCGCTGGAGTCGGCCTCGGCGGAGGTGGCGGTGACGTGCTAGTTGCGGTAATTAATGACCTTGGCAAGAATCCGGGAGGTGACAATGCGGAGGGGGCAGCCGCTCTCGGCGAAGCCGTCCACGATCAAGTGAGGATGACCCGTGACTCCATGGTTCTTATCGCCCCACCCTCGAACTCCTTATCGCCCCCGCTCTTCAGCGTCATCTCCGCCTCACCCCCTTCACCGCGCCGCCAATCGGTTTGATCGCCGTGGAAATCTCTCTGTCTCTGTCTCTCTACAGCAACTACTATAAAGATGGGTCACAAGCACCAAACCGACTTGGGAGAAATCGATTAGGAATTTCAGATTACTTTCCTAGAAGATATCCTATTTATCAATGTATTAGTACATGTTTCTTGCGTACCATGTGATAGTGGTAATTGATAGTAGTAATAATGATGAGACGTGCGTTAACATCAGCTCCTGACCGAGGCAGACCACGACGATGACTAGGGCACGCCACGTCCTGTGCAAGCCCGGTCCTTCACTCCACGCCAACATCGGATGTTGCCAGGAGTACGATCCTGCTCCCTGTAAACGGGCACATCAGGGAACGTAACCTTCCCTATAAAAACCCTCACGCTCAGAAAGAAAAAGGAGGAGAAAAATATGAGAAAAACCCCCTAAGACTATCCACTGACTTGATCGTCGGAGGGGTTGGGTCGAGCCTCCCGACCAGACCTGTGTGCAGGTGCGAAGACGAAGCGCCTCCCACCGTGCGTCCAAGCGAGGAGTCCCACCCCGGTGAAAACAACGACTGTCCCATCGCGATCGAACCACCACGGTCGACCACTTCAGCAGTCTCAAGGGTCGTCCCAGGAAGATCCCCAATCATTCGGACTCGAACCCAATCGTGTCGGCCCCGAGGCCACGACTTAAAGTCGTTGACACTAACACCTTGTTCCCATCGCAAGACCTGCCTGCCCAAAGCGACCCCACCAAGATGGGTCGAGTATTACGTGGGTCACGTACATTACCCATCTTGCCCGAGTAAACCACCTGATCGACGAGTCAGGTCGGGTCGAGTTATCCTAAATATATTTTACGTATTTCTTTCAAGGCTTCTGTGTGTGTATTTTTCGCTCTACGTTAGCGTGCTATTTTACACACAAAGTTACAAACAAAGCTCGAACACCATTAAGTATAATAATTCTCGAACTAAACTTTAATTTCATAAATATGTAAAATAAATAAATTGATCATTTTTTTAATGCAATCAAACACAATAGGAATAATTCATGTAATTTTTTTTCTTTTTCTTTTAGATTTTTGCTAAAAAGTTCTTCGTTAGATTCAACGGTTGCGATCTGGGATTCCGTTTGTGTTTTCAATCCCATCCGTTCGATTGAAGCTTCGTATTGCTCTTGGGACTATAAAATGGAAGGCCTAATCGACAATTTAGGGTTTCCATTTGCGCTCGCTCGTATTTTTCCGCTCGGAGCTCGCCGACCCTCGGAAGGGGCGACCGAAGAGAACACAGCCGCACAATGGTGAGGACTCCTCTGGGTTACCTGTAGAAGGTCTATCTTGGATCCATTCCATCGCCTTTGACTCTCTCTGGCTGTGGCTTCTGTTTGCTCCAGGGGAAGGGTACAGGAAGCTTCGGTAAGCGGAGGAACAAGACCCACACCCTGTGCGTTAGGTGCGGGCGGAGGAGCTTTCATCTCCAGAAGAGCCGCTGCGGCTCCTGTGGCTACCCTGCTGCTCGGATCCGCAAGTGTAAGAAGTGACCTTGTGATCCTTTTATTGTTTTCATCAAGCTCTTTTCTGGTTACATCTAGAAATGAATATGTAATGATCCGTAGAACACGAAGGGTTTGATAGTAAACTACCGTTTGAAGGGTGCGCATGTACTAACTGCTGCTACTCATGTGTTGTATTCCAAGCTGAAATTTCACTGTTGGAAGTGCTTTTAGGGGTTGGTACATTTATTGCTCGTCAGGTTTCTTTTCAATCTAATGAATTGATGCTTTCTAATATTATTGTGGAAACTTCTAGTAGGTAGATATCAAATTGTTGTCTCGGAATTGTTCTTTTCTCGAAACGTGAGCTAATTTTGAGATTTTTCTTGTTTTGTTCGATTAGTTTTGAGAATGTATTAGGAATAGTTTCCTCCAAGTGCTAAAAGAACCAGTTTTTTGTGATGATGGAAAGTTAAATAGACTATTGAATAGTTTCATCTATCTTCACTTTCATGACATGGAGGAACTAGCGATTTATGTTTAGAATGGGGTTTGTTACTGATGGTTTCTAACGTGTTCTTGGATATAATGTGCCACCCCCTGTTTAATCTTACATTGGATATGGCCGATGTGCAAGTTCAATTGAACTATCATATGAGGTTAGATGTGTTCCCTTTCACTAATTTGGGCTCAACTATTTTGAACCACATGGCCCTAGGTCTATAAAGTTACGGACTAGTTATCGTATTGAGTTGAGTCATTACAAATGTTACCAAAGTCTACTAGTATTGAACACGATAAAGACCTAACTAAGTGAAAAGGGACTACCCATTCACGGAGCTAGAGGCAGCACACCGTGTTAGTGTTTGATTCAAGGCTAACTGGTGATTTAAAAAGGCGCTCACCTAGGTGCTCAGACGCTTGCCTAGGCGATCGGGCGAGACGAGGCGAGGCCTGAGTGCCTCGTTTAAGGGCTAGGCGGTGCGCTTCAAAGAGGTGTCGCTTGGGCGCTCGCCTGAGACCAGGCGTTGAGCGCTTCGTGCGAGCGTCCGGTTCAACTAAGCAAATCGAACTAGACTTTTAAGTCTCGTTTGGTTAAATAACGTAGTTTCTTACCTCAAAAGCCACCCTTCACGCTCGTGCGACCCCAAGGTACCCTAGCATTGCTTCTGCCTCTGTCGTCGACGTTTATTGCCGTTGCCTTCGTCGCAGACGCAGCGGACTGAGCTTTCCTCTATCGTCGATGGATGAGTCCAACAACCCCGGTAGCTTCCTTCCACTGTCGTTCCATGTGCAGTTCCTTCCACCGTCAAGGGAGTGGACTGCAGGTTTTTTCGCCATCGACGGACGCCCTATGGAGCTTCCATCGCTATCGCTGTTTCTGTCCGCAGCTTTCTCTGCTGTCGCTGCTGCTGTCCAGAGCTTTCGTCACTATCGCTGTTGCTGTCTGCAGCTTTTGTCACTGTTGCTATTCGTAGTTTCTATCACTGTCGCTGCTGTGGTTCGTAGTGCTATTGCAACAATCTTAAACTAATCCTCTGTTACTGTTGATATTTTTTCTCCCCTCTAACTACTGTTAACAGTAAGCAATGTACTATTAACTTTATATTTTTAATTTAATATTATTTTTTATTTAAATAATTATTTTTTATTATATTATATATTTTTATATTTGAATATTTCATAGTGTCTCGCTTCGCTCGAGCGAGCTCTTGGGCGTTTTGAGACCTTGGCGCCAAAAGGCACCTAGCACTTTTTAAAGCACTAGGGCTAACTTAGGCCTTGACATGAATATCAAGCCTTAAATGGGGAAGATTGTAACATCTCAGGTTAGTCCCAAATTTGATTTGGGAAGTTAATTGAGTTGGTATACAGGGATAGATGGATATACTGTCATAACTTGGGGTTAATTATTTTAAGCCACTTGATTTTAGTTCAATTTGGATATGACAATTACCCCATTGAGCTAGGACGTGACATACTCTCTTGGTTTAGTTGAATAAGTACGTATAAGTTTAGTGCTATTGATTGATGACCCAAGGGAAGATGTAATTTGCTCTATTTTCTGGCTTGGTATCCTGGTTACATGCCTTGCTCTAATATTTTGTGTATTACTTTCAGATGATGGTTTTCATATATAAGTTTAGTGCTATTGATTGATGACCCAAGGGAAGATGTAATTTGCTATATTTTTTGGCTTGGTATCCTGGTTATATGCCTTACTCTAATATTGTGTATTACTTTCAGTTGATGGATTTCATATATAAGTTTAGTGCTATTGATTGATGACCCAAGGGAAGATGTAATTTGCTATGTTTTTTGGCTTGGTATCCTGGTTACATGCCTTACCCTAATATTTTGTGTATTACTTTCAATTGATGGATTCCATATATAAGTTTACTGCTATTGATTGATGACCCAAGGGAAGATGCAATTTGCTATATTTTTTGGCTTGGTATCCTGGTTACATGCCTAACTTTAATATTTTGTTGAAGTTCTCGAGTATTACTTTCAATTGATGGATTCCATATATAAGTTTACTGCTATTGATTGATGGCCCAAGGGAAGATGTACTTTGCTATATTTTTTTGGCTTGGTATCCTGGTTACATGCCTAATTCTAATATTTTGTTGAAGTTTTTAAGGATTACTTTCAGTTGGATTCCATGTACATTGGTACCACATCTGTTTCAACAGTTTTCTTGTGGACTTCCCTTGCCAATTGCATGAGCTTGTGGTCTTCATATCAGATTATAATTGCCTTGCTATGTTCGATCACAACTTGCCATTGCTTTTCGCTGTGATTTTTGTGGTGTTTAATTGTACAACTTTGTTATGCTGATGAAATCTTCTTGCATCAGACAACTGGAGTGTGAAGGCAATAAGGAGAAAGACAACGGGTACAGGAAGGATGAGATATCTTCGACATGTGCCTCGAAGGTTCAGGAGTAATTTTAGAGAAGGTATTTTTTGCATGTTTTATTAAATGACATCCTAAACACTGATGGAGTGGTAGTTTAGAAGCAACCCAGGATTTAAGCTTTGGCCTAATTCCCATGCCGGCCGTGCCGGAAATTGTGGGTGCAAAGTTTTCCATTGTGTGCTGCATTAGTTGGTGTGCCACTAGAACTAAAAAGCAAAAAAAGTATGAAAAGAATGAAAGGAACTTGAGAATTATAGTTGATTGTTTTCTGGTGTAATGCTTGTTCTTTGTGCTTCCTTTTGGGTTGGCTGTTTCTTGCTATATGAAATTTACTGTTGTAGGGACTCATCATGTGGTATCCAGCCCAAACTGTTGAGAAATCTATTGTTTAATTATGACTGCAATAATTGCAAATGAAAGAACAAAATACTGGCAGATATTACAAAGTATAGCAACATGTGTATGATAATTTAGATGGACAAAATAATTGTAGCATGTGCCTTCAATCTTCCAATTTGGACAAAATGTTACCCCCAATCATTGACAATATTAGCACTGTGGTTGAACATTGGCCCTTTATCTTCAACTACTTGACCATACACATTGTAACATGTTCTGGTAGAGCAGTAGCATCTTGGCATGTTCTAACCACTGTTGCTTGTTCTTTCCAGGGACTGAAGCAACTCCAAGGAAGAAGTCTGCATCCGCTGCAGTTTGAAGGGCAGAGAGCATGTCTTTTCAGTTGGCATCATTGAAACGTGTTTTTGACCGGTTATATTGTTTCTCGCATGTCTGAATTCGTGTCAGAAATCTACTGTTGAAGTGAAAGATTCTGTCCTTTCGATAACATGCTTTGATTGGAAAACGCTGTTGTGCGAATCCACTGCAGTAAGCTTCAATAACATTATTGTTCTGATACTGTACTCCTTCCCGTTGCTAGAGAGAGGGACTACAGTCGTGCCTGATATTTATTAGTAGGTGAGATCATGCTGAGCTCAGCTGACTTCGATTGGTGACGTTCTGAGGTTGCGGTGTATTCCTATTGATAGGTGAGATCATGCTGAGCTCAGCTGAATCCGATTGGTGACGTTGTTCTGAGGTTGCGGTGTATTCCTATTGATAGGTGAGATCATGCTGAGCTCAGCTGAATCCGATTGGTGACGTTGTTCTGAGGTTGCAGTATATTCCTCTTGATAGAAACCGATACCCATTGTTGCAAATGCTCTGCATACAAGGCCACTCATGATAAGTGCAATGCAACTGTCAATGTTGACACATTCGTCGATTCCGTTGAAGAAAGAATAAGGATCGTATGTCAATGGTATCACTATCGTCACTGTAAAGAAAACATTGCTAGGATATGGAGCTTGCTTGTTGTTGGAGAAGTTTTTATTTCATTCTGCCTTTAACTTGGTCCGGTATTTAGATGAACTACTCGACAATTAGTTGGATGCAAGTGAAGACCTACGTAGAGACCTACCGGTGAGACGTTTAGCCGAGTTTGATAGAAAAGGATTCGAAAAAAATATCGAGGGTGATGTTTTAGATATACGTTATCAAAAATGAGTGGAATCGGAGGAAGCTCGTCTCTGTCGGTCCGTCGTTTACCATTTAGGCCGATGGCTTGTAATCTCGTCACCAATCATTCTGTGGCAGCTAATTTTTCCAACAAAATTATATGTCACGCAATCGTACTAATTGGAAACAAGATCGATGTGGAAGCACGTAAACCAATCCACCACGTAACCCAATCAAGGTATGGTGTATCCTCTACCCGGATATATATGAAGCAGAAGTGGCAGGAGTATCGTTCAAGCTTCGCTCCCTGCGCTCATTCCGCCGTTGCCATACATAAGCAGAGGAACAGCTGCCGCTGCCTTCCATCAACCTCCAGTGGGCTTTCTCCGCAGTCATAGGCGGCAGCTTGGTCATGGACGCCGAGGCCGGTTTGCTATCTCGCTCTGACTTCCTCCTCTCCTTCGTCTGCTTCGTCTTCTGCTACTACTTCTGCCAGATATTCCGGCGGTCGAACGTCCCGGTGAATTGGCCCGTAGCAGGAATGTTGCCGGGGCTTCTGCTCCGCTGTCGCCGCATCTACGACTGGGGCGCCTGCTTGGTTCGGGAGGTCGGGTGCACCTTCGTCTTCCGCGGCCCGTGGTTGTTGGGCATGAACTACGTGTTGACGTGCGACCCCGCCAACCTGCAGCATATCTTCAGCGCCGGCTTCTCGAATTACCCCAAGGGCGAGGAGTTCTCGGAGATCTTCGACGTCCTAGGTGATGGCATCTTCAACTCCGACGGCGAGTTGTGGAAGAAGCAGAGGATGAGGGCCCATGGCCTCATCAGCAGCCGGAGCTTCCGGTCCTTCGTCGCCGGCTCCAGTCGACGCAAGGTGGAGCAGGGGTTGATTCCGCTGCTCGACGGAATCGCGCGGCAAGGGACGGTGGTCGACTTGCAGGATGTGTTCCTGAGGCTGACCTTCGACAACACTTGCCACCTGGTGTTTGGCGTCGATCCGTGTTGCCTCTCGATCGAGTTCCCGACCATCCCGTTTGCGAGGGCTTTGGACGATGCGATGGGGGCTCTGTTTCTCCGGCACATCGTGCCGCCGGCCTGGTGGAAGCTGATGAGATGGCTGGGAATCGGGGAGGAGAAGAAACTGGCAATGGCATGGAAAGAAATGGACCGTTTCATAGCGGAAAGAACAGCAGAGAAGAAGAAACAGAGAAGCCTCGACAAGAATCGCATACATGACGGCGAAGAAAAAGTCGATCTGCTGTCGTCTTACATCGATGACCACGACGACGAAGAACAACACATGAGTCAACAAGAATCGAGCAAGTTCGACAAGTTCCTGAGGGACACAACCATGAACTTCATGCTTGCCGGAAGGGACACGACTGGTGCAGGGCTCACATGGTTCTTTTGGCTGCTCTGCAACAACCCCATGGTGGAGTCCAAGATCCTCGAGGAGTTGAAGAAGGTAGCATCTCTACGAAACGAGAGATCGAGCTCGGATGATCTGGTGGTATTTGACGCAGAGGAGCTGAGCAAGTTAGTGTACTTGCATGCAGCCTTGTGCGAGTCGCTGAGGCTATTTCCTCCGGTTCCCTTCGAGCTCAAAGCAGCTCTGCGACATGAAGTCCTCCCAAGCGGCCACGGAGTTGGACCAGGCACAAAGATCTTGGTTCCACTCCACGCCATGGCGAGGTTGGAAGGGATATGGGGCGAAGACTGCTTGGAGTTCAAGCCGGAGAGGTGGATCTCGGAGAAGGGGAGGGTGAGGCATGAGCCATCTTACAAGTTCCTGTCGTTCAATTCAGGCCCCAGGACCTGCCTGGGGAAGGAAGTGGCCTTCACCCAGATGAAGGCAGTGGTGGCCGCCATGGTCTACAACTTCCACGTTGAGGTGCTCCAAGGTCATGTGGTCGAGCCAAAGCTTTCCATCATCCTCCACATGAAGAATGGCCTGAGGGTTAGGATCAAGAGAAGATCACATGAAGGTGTGGTGTGACAGCAAGTGCTTGCATCTTCGATTTGAATAAATATTATGTGTGTATTCGACTTCAACTGTGTGTTCATGCAATGTTATCTCGATAGATCAAGCTAAATAAGATGCAACTTGTTCTACTACATTTTCGATATCATCTCAGTGCATGGTTTTCTAAACATGTGGGATATGCTTTCAAATCGGTATGATGCAGCAACATGTAGGTTGGCTGAGACCATCAGTCGACAATTTGATGCACACATAGCTAGAAGTTTCCGAGAGAAATAATTGCATGAATCCATGTAGCTTTACATCCCCAAACAGACAGATGCATGTTGATGAAATGATGGAGCCTTATCACCGGCAGTGAGATAAGGTTCATTCCGGTCCATTGTTCCCTTCGATTCTCCCAACTCCGCTCGTTGAATGACAACCACATACATGCAAGCAGCAAGCAGCCAAATCTCCCTCTGAAACGACTCGATCAAACACCGCTCGATGGAAGACGGCCATCCGATTCCGCCTCACCTTCACAGTGGATGAGGTGACGCAGGGTCCAAGCGAGTGTAACAAAGTAGATCTACATTAGATCTTCTTCCAAGTGTAAAGAAAGTCATATCCATTGCGTTATAGTCATTGCTGTCATCATCGCGGTACAGTCAGTGCAGAAAGGTCAACAAAATTCGATCGAACATGATTGCAATCGGTACTATAATCAGACAGACTAAGCAAGAGCCATCATCTCTGTCTTTCCACACTTCTCTCTCCCTCTGTGCAAGTGCAGGAAGAATCGTCTCCATCCATCCCTGTACAAGCTGCCACCTTTTTAGTCCGACCACCGCCTGTCTCTTCTTCGTAAGGTTTGGAAGAAGAAAGTGAAGTCATTTGGAAGGGTGTGACCGTATGATAACGCTGAGGAGCTCGACCACACCGATTCTTGGCTCACCTCACTCCTCCTCTTCCTCCTCCCTCCACTTGGTCCTGCCCCTGACTCCGACAGTCCACCACACTGGGCAGCTCAAAGGCCTACATACTCTTGATCAAATAAAAATCAAGATCAACAACGTGAGATCTCGAATAGTACCCCTGGTTCAGCATCCGAGCATAGCCATGGCAGCCGCTTTCTTGCGGGAAACAGAGGAGGAGGACCACGATGAAGAAAGAAGGTGGTCAGTGACGAACACCTAATAGCATCAGGTTGGCTCCTGCGACCGACTCGTCCCTTATCGAGCTCGGCCCACTCAGCCCATATTGAGAAAATGGCCCGTTCACGATGCCGAAATGGCCCATTTAGATAGCTATATATACACTCCCCCCCTAAGAAACCCTAGCGGCGAAAGAGCAGAGACGCGGGAAGTAAGATGCCGGCGGGACACGGGCTGAGGTCGAGGACGAGGGATCTCTTCTCCCGGCCCTTCCGGAAGAAGGGCTACATCCCCTTGACGACCTACCTGCGCACCTACAAGATCGGCGACTACGTCGATGTCAAGGTGAACGGCGCCGTCCACAAGGGCATGCCCCACAAGTTCTACCATGGCCGCACCGGCAAGGTCTGGAACGTCACCAAGCGCGCCATCGGCGTCGAGATCAACAAGCAGGTCCGACTTCCATAGTCTCATTTTGACTCTGTTTCTGAGTTTTTTTATAGCAGATTGATATTGTTTGGAAAGAGAAGATCGTTTTTACAATATAGGAGGTTGCATGTCCTTTGTGCATATTATGAATACTGATCACAGGGATTCTATCTGTGTTGATGCTATGCTGATACGTGTGACCAGTTGGTAAGGGCCATTTAAGGATTGGTCTTGGTATTGATTTCGATGAATTGCTTTGTTGGTTATGTCTGATTTAGACAAACATCTCATTATGGTTTCATTGGTAAAACATTTTTCTGATCGAATAAAAATGTAACTTTCTGCTGTTGCAGGTTGATTTGTTTGTGCAACCCTACTACTGTTGTTAACATCTGCATTATTTTGTTGCTTTATCTTAAGAATGCATTTGTATATTAGTAATCCGTTCACAAGGACAAGGATATTGTGATTTATACGCCCGATCTCTAGCTATATGCTGGATGGTGATGATCCACGTTACTGAGCTAACTTTGCTGCATAAAGAATGGTTAAATTAGCATTTTCTGAGTCAAATGTCAGAAAGAAAAAGTGAAAAAAGCTTGCTTCTTTGCTACTTGAGTTTGATGAAATCGATTCATCGAGTTGTGTCAAACATATTCTGAGAAGTCCGTTATTGATATGTTTAATGGATCTCCGTGCGATGAAGCCTTAAGTCGAATGAAACTATTATAATTTGGAGAGTCATATATGTTGCAACTCTCGCAATTAAAATTGGACTGCGGTGTCGTATGATTAGAGTGGTTGGTCAACATTCGAATCATGAAAGAAAGAAAAAGAAATTTCATCATGTGTTGTTTTTGTACTTTTGATCCATTTCAAGCCACACTATGCCTGCATTGGGCTGTCTACTATTAATTCTTTCCAATTCATGCTGACTGATGGTGAAGCAACTCCCTGTTCTTTAGGTTGGCAATCGTATCATCAAGAAAAGGATCCATGTCCGTGTGGAGCACGTGCAACCTTCCAGGTGCCAGGAAGATTTTCGTATGAGGGTGAAAAAGAACGACCAAATGAAGGCTGAGGCGAAGGCACGTGGTGAGGTAATCAGCACTAAACGGCGACCAGAGGGCCCTAAGCCTGGTTTTATGGTGGAAGGTGCTACACTTGAGACCGTCACTCCTATTCCTTATGATGTGGTCAATGATCTCAAGGGCGGCTACTAGCTTCTTTGGTCGATTTTGGCTCTATGCTCGATTTCATTATCCATCAAGGTTAGTTGTTCTTCGGCATATTTTGTCAAGACACGGCCGTGGTTGCTAGTTCCGACATTTTGCAGTTGAATTCATGATTTAGTGTGTTCTGTTTTGTTCTCTCTACACCTTGTATCATTCATGTGTCTTCATAACAAGATGATGACAGCGACCTCTTCTATATATATCACACTGATGATGGTAATGTTCTCTCATTCTAAAGAATGAAGAAACTGAAACCACCTTAGCATTGCATCACCATTCTCCGAGGAGTCGATGTTATCGACAGCTATTATACAAAGTCAGCACTGTATCTTAGGTATTGATCATTCATGTGCATGGACCTGAACATTGACACTGCATTGTCCTGTTACAACTTTCTTTCCAAGGTCTTGTTTATACCTTGGAAATGTTTTTTATGTTTATGTTTCATAAGGCTAGAATTTGCTGCAGGAATTAGCAGGCCTGTTCCTATGATCAATACAGGAATTGTCAGATAGGTTGGTAGCAATATGCCACCAGTTTCTTTTCACCCAGATTTCCGAGAGATGCAATCCTTTCCTCCTGTTCTTCAAAAATATCCAATATGCATGTCAACCTCTTCATTTTCGCTCAACTAACAAAAGTGTTTTATAAATTGTTCTAGCATTTTCGAAAAACATATAAATGACAAATGAAAAGATTAAACACTGTATGACTTCTTTGACAGAAGATTCAGCTATTATCTATCCATAATTCTCTTTCGTTGTTTTCTTTGGTTGTCGAAAGAGCAACTCATCATGACAATTAACATAGACACAGAATGAGAAAACAAGAATAGCTTCACTTCCACATAAATATATTACAGTGAAGAATATATTACAATGTGGTCGCAAATCAGCTTACCATTCCGACTGGCGTGACATACAATTTACAGATATAACTTGGAATCATACTAATTTCCACACATTATTTATAAACAATGGTTGCATCACTCTCATTAGGTGCCACCCTAAGATGGCATTTGTACCTAATTTCTCATTCGGAAATGGACAGACCAATGAAGATGTGGTGAACCAAATCCTCGATATCCTTTTGTGCCGCGAAAAATATCTCAGGACAGAGAGCAGAAACACAGCTCCGGACCAAAGGAGTCTACCATCTTTCGTCACCTACCCAGTTATTCTTTTCCTTGGGGCCGGTTGGTCCTTCTTCTTTGTATAACTCCATTGGAAGACTATTGAAAATATTCTCCACCGTGTAACGGAGATTGTATGGTAAAAGGTTGAGGATCTTGTTCAACTCAGACCTCGAATTATAGGTTACCGTCGGACCCCATTCGCGCATGTACTGCAACCAAAATGGTTCTTTCACAGCGTCTCCTAGATACTCTGCTGCCACTATCTGATAGTTGGTGCTAGAATCAACAAGTAGCATGCTCGGTGCAGTATCATTCCTCACACCGATTCCCAGCTTCTCGGACCCCTGGAGGTAGTTTCCGGGATGAGGGAAGCTTGCATGCCCACTCTTCGAGGAATAAACAGCTGCCCTGTTACCTTCGTAGAACTCCAAGCCAGGCACGTCGATCCACTTCCCTCCGCTGTGCTGAGAGAAATATATACTCCAAAGCTCACCAGTGAAGTTGCTTATCCGTAATGTGTAATGCTCCCAATCGCAGACGTGCTGCCCGATTTTGCTAAGTGGAAAGTTCGCCATCCCGACCTTGATTGTAGCAGGGCCATTGAAGGGGCAGAATATCCACATAGCGATATCGGCAAATAAGCCTCCTAGAGCTGGTTTGACATGCACATAAAGCTCAGCACTTTCTATGTTCCCTTTCTTGACGAAATTATTCCTGTCATCATCAGGAAGATCTATCCAGTATGCTCCGTCATTTTTGCCGCCAGATGGAAGGTTTGAACCGTCAACATGTATATGCTCTCCCACCTTGACATCTTTCTTATACAAAGTAGCACCATTCTCAAAGAACCATGAAACTGATGAAGGCAAATAGACTTCTTTCGGGTGGAACACAAGGGTAGGGCCGTAATGCTCGATGAGGGCATGAATCTGCTCTAGATTTGGCATTGCATTCAGAGAAGAATCCAAGTTCTTTAAACAGTAAATGTTCGACATGTCGGTGCAGCTCGAGTCAGTATTGCAACAGAATGTCCCTACAGAAATTCCTGTTCCCAACATTCCCCGAGAAAAAGGTCTCATCTTCCAAACTTGGCAGGGGAGATACGGAAATATTGTTTCCATATCGATCATCAACTCATGAGCCTCACTTGCGTCTGTAAGATCACATCGAACACATCGAACTTCTTCGAGGGACGGCTTGTTGGGTCCACTGGTGACCAAGTAGCCCATCGCTCGATAACCCTCGGGTGGTAATGGAAGCCAGAAGTAACCACAACTGCCATGAGACTCCTCTACCGAGCCATTTGAACTCCAAACAAGTTTATAATCCAGTGGTTCCCGAAGAGCTGGTAGACTCGACCCCGGTTGGAAATCGGCATTCTCTCTCACCACAAGAACAAAACCATGTAGAGGTTGGTTGCACGGCTGGGCATAATGACCAAGGCTGAAATAGCCATTTGGTATTGCAGAAGGTTTGTAGAAAAGAGCTCCTTTGCCCTCTTCCAAGGAAGAAAGACGACAACTCCAAATGCGTTCGAACTTGGTAATTTTTAGAACCTCCAATTCTCCAGTGCATATACTTCCTTTAGCAAATCCTCCACCTGGAAAACCAAGTATCAGTATACAATACAAACAATTTGCTAACAGATACAAATAAATCCAAATCACAACCTATTGGCATAGAACCATTCATTGTACAAAATAATTTCCGTAACCACAGTAAAAACACTGCAGGAAAATGATACGCACCTTAAAAAGAGTGTCAAGATGTATTGCTCGAGAATAAAGAAGAAAACAAGAGATCAAGATAAGATGATAGGTGACAATGAAACCAAAGCATCTGATGACAAGGAACAGTATGTTGTTTCTATGCAGATCGCTTCCCATCTTTTCTTAGCTAACACAAGTGAATCAAAGTATTAATATATGGATCCCATAGTTAGAAACAATGTTAGAGTACCAGTGCTACAGACAAAGAGAAAAATAGGAAAATGAGAAGACAAGAATCAAACATCCAAGAAAGGAGAGAAATTTGTAGACGATGATGAAAACCCATTCCTGCATGATCATAAACGAAAGAAAAACAGAATGATGAAAAGATCAAACAACATATTATAAATCAAACTTCAAAGAGACTAAATTCTCCATAACATAAAATGAAAGGTATTGTAACCACGCAAGAAATGCCAAATGGTCGAAAAGGCGTGCAAAGACGAGCATCCTTGGCCTAATTGAGGGAACACCTCGGTTAGAATTGGAGCTCATTATCGAGAAAACCTAAAAATGCATGGATTATTAGAGAAGATCAAGAGGCATTATCTGACACAGAATTCAGAAAGCACCAAAATTGAGATTGTGCCAATAAAGACAGATCATTTATTTGGAATTTATTGAGAGCACTAAAAGACCAAAAAGGAATGGCATCCGGAAAGCCAAAGTATGAGCAATAAGATCTCGATTTCATGACGTCAAACAGCCGACCCTTTCTCAATTTCTTTCCTGATATAGTACCCATAAAAGTCTCACCTTGGGGCCATTTGGGGATCGGGAAGGGGAGGGAGAAGGGCTCCGGGTCGCGGAGGACAGCGTCGGAGGCGCCCTCTCGGCTCCAACAAAACCACTTCCACTGCAACATCTGGCCCCTGTCGGTCTCCCAAATCCCCAAGACCCAGTCCGCCCCCTCTGCGACCAAAATGAATCAATATTTCCCTCAGTTCAGCACCAGCAACCCAATGCGGGCTACGCCTCTTGTGACCGAGACGTCAAAGACGAACCATTCCTCAGTGATCGGATTCGGCGACAGAGTTAGGGTTCCGGCGCGATGGGGTACCAGAGAATTCCTCGCTTTTCCTTTTGCGTAGGCGCGAGGGAAACTTAGTTTTTGCTGGCGGATTATTTTATGTAAACGCGTTTCCGAGCCTCGACGAGATGTGAGCCGTAAGATCAGAATATGGATGCCTGATAAGACGGACAAGAGAGAGGAAGATAACAGATAACCCGACGATATGGTACTCCGCGGAGAATTTATGGTCGACGGAAGTCGCTTTTATTTAAAGCGTGAGGGGACGTTAGTGGTGGGGTTGGGGTCTCAGCAGGGTGCACGTGGGGGGGTCCCAAAGGAGATCAGTGGTCGACGCGGGGCCCACGTGAGACTGGGACCTCTCTCCTTTGGTGGAATACCACACGTGAAAATGACAAACTGTTAAAACAGTAGAAAAAAGAAAAAAAAATCTGATTTGGATTAAAATGATTCACAGAATTACAAATAAAAGATTAAGACTGAGAAAGCTCTTGTGAGAGTAAAGGGAAATTGGGTTTCTTCTTTAGGTTTGAACAATCACAAAAAAACTCAAATTTCTTTTCAACAAATGATCAAATAAATTATTATTATTATTATTATTGATCAATCTATATATATATATATATATATATATATATATATATATATATATATATCTAAATCTAGATATGATCATATTATTTTCTTATTGAGAGCAGGACGATTCTCTTTGGAGATTAGTAGATTTTCAGACATGACGGTTGATCAGTTATTCTATTCATTGTTGAGAAAAACATGTTTTCATTTTGACAAATGATATATTACTGTTAGGCGCTATAGGAGTATTACTTTTGGACACATTTTTTGTTTTACAGTTGACTTATAAAGATTCTTACTCACTAATTTTTTTTATTTTTTTATTTTTAAAATAATTTTCTAATAACGCCATACTGAATTTCAGTGAAAAATAAACCTTCCTTTACTATTAGATATAATTAGTTGGATTCATTTTCGAGTTAATATTACTATGTTTCTCAATGAAACTATGATTATTCTTGATTTTTATTTTGATGAATAAATAAATTATAATAAATATTTATAATTTATATATATTAAATAAAAAATTATTTAGTTGGTTCAGGATATACTTGCGAAAAGAGGTTGTGATCCTATTAAATTTTTTTTTGACATATATAAATAAGTTAAAAAGAAGAAAGTTATCCTTTATTGTAGGACTAAAATGAAACTAGATTATCTTAAATTAGATTATAATTATATTGTTTAGAAAAATACGATAGAACTATAAGCCTTTCAAGTAAAACCAACAACAAGATGAGTGTATTTGTCTGCCGAACAGCATCTATGTTGTCTTCTCTCTTCGACAATGACCGAGGCAGAGTCGTCTTGGGAGTGACAGCCTTTTCAGCAATTAAAAGCTGCGGTTGGCCAAACATAATAGAACAAAATTCGTGGGGTCAACTTCGATCTCCCAACATCCCACAAGATTTCTGCTTCGCACCAGCAATTTATCCACAGCCATGAATACGTCCTATTAGTACCTAATAATTATGAGAAACATCAGCCTCTAAACCACCTCAAACTGCGATTTCATTTAATTCCATCCGTCGTCTTGCTCCTCATCACCTCCGGTCCAGTTTGTCGAGGTCAAAGCCGATGCGCCGGTCGCCGCAGCTCGGTCTTATAGTCGTACGGCCACGGCGGTGCTACCGGTGACAAGAACCAAGCCCATGGCCAATTAGGTGCTTATGGGCTTTGGTCCAGGTTTTGGGCGTACAGATGTGAAGCTCAGCAGATAACAAAAATTATCTTTCTTCTTGTTAAGGCACAAATTTCGTTGTGTAAAGAAAATTCAAAGTCAACCTTGATTCAAGTTTAAATCTCTTATAAATTTGATGTTGAGAGATAATGAGTTTGATTAGGATCTGCAAAAAAGAACTGTCTCAAGAAATAAGATCCCTCTAATAGTTAGATCAGTAAAGGATTTAAAAGATTCAATCAAATGGCAAATATAAAATGTGTAATTAATTAGAGAGCGAAAGCCCTCTTAAAAATATATTAGGAAGAGATAGGAAGAATTCAATCAAATATCAAATAAGAAAGAAGGTAAGCCCCCTTAGCATATATAGCGATATTTTTATAGTAAGATATTTGATCGTTAGGTTGAGGTCATGATTGATGACCGACACTTCCTTAGATATTTGATCATTAGGTTGAGGTAATGACTGACCTAGTGAAATCGTATTTATCAATTTTCATAGGCTTGAGTCAATCATTATGTCACCTTGAAAGTCAAATGCATCACCTTCACCTATCAAACATCAAAATGTCAACCACGTGATATTGAAGTGACAGAATACCACATAAATTATTCTTGTATCACTTCCTAGTCTTCATAGTTTAGGTAGAGAGAGAATACAACATCGTAGATGACAAAACAAATCTCACCCTACGCTTCAAAACCATAGCTGCAATCAAAATGGCTGATCAACATGTATGAACAGTGTTGAACACATCTGAAGAAAGAGGTAAAGCTAATATCTGAAAGAAATAATACAATCAAGCATTGCAAGCAATTCAAAGCTTGTCACTTGGTTAGAAGCAGCTAGTTAAAAAAAAGTACTGACAAACAGCTTGGTAAAGAATCTTTCAACAAATCTTAACACATCAAATCTGGTTATACGCATACCTCGATCGATATCGTACATGACTACCCATGGAGACTTCTAATATTCACTTCACGACATGTCTAGCCAAAGCCTTCAAATCCTTTTCGGCACTATCTTCAGCCGATGAAGTAACTTCCAAATGGATAGTCTTGGAAGCACAAGCATCGGCACAACATATCATTAACCGAGTTCAAATTTCATCGGCAAAATCATCTACTGGTTCTGTCCCTTTCCCTTCTTGGACTTGCTCTTGTTTTCCTGTATCTTCTTCTTTTTTGCCTCAGGAGTAGTCCAAATATAATCAGGAGGAATCACAAATGGGTCTTGTATGTCTTCTACACGGCTACTCGGTCCTGATGTTGCAGAGTAACCTTGTCGATAGGGTGCCTTTATCCATTGAATCCAGGAGCTTGATTGCAGTGTTTCAGGGGAGTTGCTCTCAGGGCTAGAAGGAGGTGTTGAGAACTCTTCCAGTGGCTGCAATTCTTCGAACTTGGTGAAAGTAACCAGGACCCGGATGGTAGGAACAACTGGAATGGCGACCTGCAAGTATCTATCTATTACCCTCAAACAACACACGAGAATCACAAAAAGTTTCTAAAAGGAGAAGTTACATGTTGCCGCTACCGAAACTGTCACCATAAGAACATGATTACCAAACAACAAATAGGTACTAGTTAGAAATTAACATAATTTTGATCTTGTTCCTCGATCATTCTCTTTATGATGATCAAGAAGTCCAATCACTTTCACCTAAACCATTCTCTTTACAAGAAATACCAAGGCAATTTACATGAAGAAAAAAGTTACTTGTCAAGCAAACAAATGGAAATCCAACTATAAGTTTTGCTACCAGTTAATTTCTAGCAACTTATGCAGTTGATCACCGTAACAGGTGTCATGAAGTGGCCGATGTTCAACATTAGAAAAAAAAAGAAAAAACTTTCAGTGGGTGCTCATAATAACTATAGTAAAAAGAATAGTCATGAAATTTGAGGAAACGTCTTGCAAATTGTTTACACCAACATTAATCTGCAAATAGAGTTTGGAGTAAGAAACTGAATGTGAAAATCATTCTAACACCAAAGAACTTCAACTATTTTCTCCATTCAGGTTACAGTGCATCACAGAATGCCATCTTCATCAAGTGATGCTCTAGTTTCTATAGTTGTAAAGGTTCCAAACCCCGACATTTAGCAAGATTGCTGGTATTTCAAAACTACTTGTTCCAATAAATAAGAAGAAATTACACAAGGAATGCTATCTCAAAGTTTCCTCTTTATCAAGAACTAGGATGAATAGATACGTCAACAGTAAGGATGAAATAGATACACTGAAATAGATACATCAACAGTAAGGATAAATCATTGGGATGATTTATAGTCAATAAGCATGTCAAATAGGATAACAGGAAACCTTAAAAGTCAGGCTAAGTAAAAACAGGTCATATGGACACACCTAATCTTTGGATATATTTCCTGTGGGAGGAGATGATTTCAACTTCCAAGGTTGTAACAAAGTGACCTTTTGTCATCAAGATCAAAAGGTCATAAATCATGTTAGATTAATTCGATCTACTAAAAGATGGCAGGAGCAGATGCACAGAAAAGCCATCTTTAAGGTTTAGGTGATTGTGTTCCTATTTCTTTCTCAAAATAATTCGACCCTTTCCACAGGAGTACATGGAAGGAGAATCCAAAGTACAACAGATGATGATACTCATTGCAGAAATTAATTGTCTGGTTTGAGCAAAATAATCAAATCCGTGACCTCCCTTCAGAGAAGTATACTTCTCCGAACCTGATAATGAAAACTAAGCGCCATGCATCCTGAAGTTGATCTGCATACCATTATGTCAACAGTAACTAAAATAATAAGAAAGAGAGTTTTAATATGCTTCAGATTGCTATATGACTGATAGAAAAGCCTACAAACCACTCCCAGTTACCTAATCACTATTGCAAAAGTTTATTCACTAAAGTTTTTAGAACAAAACTTCCTAAGATTAGTACCTAAAAATCAAGCAAGGGTATTAAAACTCTAATGCAATAAGAGGGAAGATTAGGCCATCAAAGCACCATTTACTGAAAAGACACTGCTAGCCTCGCAAGAGCTAATTTTTAATGTCAGTGAAAGAATGGAAATGTAACTCTATGCAAGTGTCAGTGACAGAATGGAAATGTAACAACATATGCAACCATACCAAACATATCATTTTTATGTTTAAAGGACATCAGAATCGATAAATATCAAAACAATATGATAAGAAAAATGGTAAAGCCCAGACTCATGTGGTCAGTGTCCCATACCTTCACCGGAAATGCTCCAGCAGGGAGCTTCGTCGTAAGTAGATCCCTCAGACGACGAATTGCCTTAACCTTGTTTGCAAGAATATCAAGAAGTGGCAGTAGCTCTTCTGTCCGAAGTGGAAAATCAGAAGAGAGCCACAGAACAGGCCTTAGACCTTTTTTGTATTCGCTCTCTTTGCTACTCTCTTTGCGTCGGTATCCATTCTCCAAACCCGTCACTGTCCTTTTGGAATCCCTGTCCCTTCCCCTCCTAAGATCGTCCCCTCTGTTACTGTTAACAATCTCTATGGAATGCCTTGCAGGCCTACTCTGACACCCAGACGGAGAATCACCAAGGAGATCACTCACCTTCTCCTCGACACAAAGTGAGCTCCTTGGAGGCACAACTTTCTTCTGCCCTTCTTGTTTGTGATTACCGCCCCTCTTTTTCCAATTACCAAACCAACTTTTCCTATCCTGTCTACTCTCACTGTTACTACTGCTGCCAACATCGTCGATGGCCATCGGCCTCGGTTCACAGCAGCTATGCCGGCGAGGAACATGTTGGGCCTCATCAGGGGATTCCATTTTGAGGGCATTCTCCAATTGCTTCCGCTCCTCCTCCGTCAAGATGTCCTCGAGCCCTTCGCTCTCTGTATCATTGTCATTGCAGGTCGAGAGGAACTCTTCGTCGGTCATCGCCCCGGGCACCTGCCGGGACTTCACGCTCACAACGACGTGATGCATGTCATACACCTTTGCTTTCCACGACCCAACCAATTCCGACCTCTCCTGCCTCCTCCATGTCAACTGAGGAAGTAGCACTGCCTGCGTGACGTCGATTCCCGGTCGGAAGATGTTCGTCTGGGACATCGCGGCAACTTCTTGCTGGACTTCCGCCTCGGTGGCCGGCGTGCCCGCTCCGTCCAAAGCGTTCATCACTTCCTTGTCCTTGTGGGAGATCATGCACAGGGATCCCGGTGACACCTTCCCGTCCTCCGATCCATCCCCGAGGAAGAGGACACTCTGGTCGGAGCGCTGAATCCGGAAGCCGTCGAACCCGGCCAGAGTCATGTCGGCACGCAGGTTGGACCCCCGCTTCCAGATCTTGTAGGTGTCGGAGGGGGCGATTCTGGAGATGAAGGGTATCACCGAGCTCTCGAAGTGGAAGGTGATCTCCATGTAGAAGTCCCGCATCCGGCGCATGGTGGCGACGAGCCGCGGCAGCCGGCGGCACCACTTGGCCCAGGCGAGGGGCTGGTAGTGGCGGACGATGATCTTGGCGAGGTTCTCCTCTCGGAAGCAGATGGCCTCTTGGAGCGCGCTCCACCCCTGCTCGTTCTGGAGGCTCCAGTCGACGCCGGCGGCCATGAGCATCTCGACAGCGGCGGCGTCGCCGAGGCGTACCGCGAGGTGGAGCGGCGTCTCCCGACCGGGGACGTCGCGGCGGTCGATGACCGCGGAGATGGCGTCCGCCTTCTCCTCCTCCGCGACCGCCGCCGCCTCGGTGACGATCGACAAGGGCTCCGCCAGGCGCGGCAGCGCCGCGAGCACGCACTTGAGGCCGGCGTAGTCGCGGGCGAGCACGGCCTTGTGCGCCGGGCTGTGCGCGTACTTGGTCGGATCCACGCCAGCCATCACAATCCTTCTTCTTCAGCGGGGTTGCCCAAACCGATCGATTCTCAAGAAAGCGGAAGCATCAAGAAGAGGGAAATCGATATCAAAAAGAGATTTTTAGATCTTTTTCAGCTCAAATTTGGAGACCGCAAGAACAAGAGATAGAACAGCGGACAGAAGAGGAGGAGGTCTGATGTGTGCAATACCAGAGCAGACAAGCGCCTCTATACGGGCTTTTCTTTCCAGAAAAATTATGTATTTTGCGTGTATTCATACGTGTATACATATCCATAAGACCGGAAGGAAAACACATGAAAACAGACCACAAGATGGAAGGAAAGATTATAGAATTATAAAGAAGAGGGGAAAGTTCAAATCTTTTGAACGCAGATATTATTATATTTTCATCCTCTCGCTGTCCCCACACAAAGCAGAGAGAGAAGCCACATATGGATAAAAAGGTGATCTTGAGAGATAACGAAAAGTAAAAAGAGGGTGAGACGAGTGCCCTCCAAACACAGACTTGTCTGCTATTTTCTTGGTGAGATAGAAGTGGAAGAAGGCCATTATTTCTCTGCTATTTTCTTGGTGATGTGGAAGGGAGGACGGACGCCAATGAATGTGACACAATAACACAACACGCGCAAGGAAGAGAAACCCGAGTTTGACACGACACCGTACGTTCAATTCCAAATCTTAAAACGTTTTAAATTAAATGAAAAATAATTAAAAATGTATTGACGTGAATATGCACGTCCGACATGATCCATCGTCACCAACGCGGTCGAGCCGACTTAGATCATGGAGGACGATTGCACGGTGAGGATTTGTTCGTCGCTTATTGGGTCGCTGTTAATGACACGTAGCCGAGACGTGTCGGTGACGGTGAGCGAAGAAGAAACCCCAGTAATGGACCGTAGTAGACAAGATCACAACTACGGCGGGAAGCTAAATGGTTCACGTCGCACACCTCACGAACTCTGTTCTATAATTGTTATTATTTGATTACAATGTTCTTTTGTTGTTGTTGTTGTTGTTGTTGTTGTGGTAGGTGTTGATATATGATGAGAGAAGACGCTTGCAATTTTATATACGTGGGTGGCAGATGAGTCTGTCATCTTGCAGTCCATGATTGCCACGGTCACATGTGCAGCACGAGCTGTGGGGTTCTTGCATCAAACACCACTAGCCCTCACTGTGTTATATATTTCAGTGGCCATGTGAAGGGCCATTATGAGCGGGCAACTAAATGATGAGGAGATCACAAGAGAAAGCTTTCGCTTGGCCTATTTATCCCTCTCATGCATGTTGTTAACACACTACCAATCATAATTACTAACAATCAGTTTAAATCAAATATCTAAAATAATACCATCAAACTACAATTTAAAACCTTAATAATAATAATAATAATAATAAGATTGAGTGAGCAAGCCCAGGGTCAATGTAGCTTTCCACTAGATCCAAGTCCCACTAGTTTTAATCCACTCATCAACACATTAAAACAAGAACAAGGCCAAGGGACCACTGCTCTCTCTTGTGTATTCCAAGATCCAAGTGGGGGTTAGGCTGGGGACCCTCATTACTAATCATATGGTTGGGGGATTGTTTAAGCTTTTGGTCTCATTGTCCTCGCATGGGAGGGGGTGGTGGATGCCCACCCTGAGAAGGAGACGATGATAAAAGCTGTCACTGTTGTTGGGAATGGCAATGAGAGGGGAAAGAGGGAGGTCCTTTATGGGGAGTCAAAGATGCCCTAATTCCCACCCCCCCCCTCTCCATCCAAGGATTTGACTGCTCTGTGTGCTGCACCAGTGCGCTTTTATAATCTATGTCAATAACCATGCAAACCTTCATTTATCTAGTATATTTAAGGATAGGTGATGAGGCATCAAAGTGCCTGCCACATGAGGGTTCACTACTTGCTAGCTCAATCACCACAACAATCATTGATCCCACTTCTGCAAATTGACGATCCTTTCTTTGCACAGCTAGTGCTTGTGGTAATGAATGACTCCATCTTGAGCATTTGAACTTGGAAGGATCGCCAAACCTGTTTAAACCTCTCCCAGAAATGCATGTGTTGTTAGATGGACAAGCGTACAGAATGATTCTCAACCTCATGAACGCCCTGCAGCTGCCTACTTTGTCCACAACATTTACCTGGAATGCACTTGTTTTCTCAGAGGCAAATTGGACATTTGATCTCTCCTCGTCTGTATTGATCCCAGTATTCGTTGTATCAACCTGCATCATTGAGAAACAACTAACAGAGTTGGTACAAGTTAGAAAAGGAAGAAAAGGAGCCAAAAGCTCCAGCCAAATGAATGATAGCACATGACTCTCACTTGCATCCAGCTTCAGTTGTTTCCATGCGATGGATGGATTGGTCATGGAAGAAGCCAGAGAATGTTCGAATAGATACAACAAAGTGGAGATCCATCATGAGCTTTTCATTGCCTTAGGACCATATACTCTCCATCAAAAAACATAGTCTATGAGGACATTTTTGCATATGTCCTTCTCCAAGTTCATCCTAAAATGTGACATGGTCAATGTCAACGCATAGGTGGTCCAGTTATACAAAATTCTGGTGAGTCAAAAAATTCTTCAATATTGCTCCCTGTTGGACCACAAAAAGAAATGATCAAATCAATAGTGTAATCAAATCAATAGTGTAATCAAATTAATAATGAACATTCCACAACTGGTTCCATAGGCATTGGTTGATGACAAAAGAAATGATAACTGGGCACCAAATTGTCAAATCAGTCAATATAAACAGGATCTGTGCAAAAGAAAAATGCACACTGACCAACGTGCATTTTTCTAAGCTAATAAGCTAAAATATGGTAGTAACGATTATAGAAGAGGAGGTTTGAAAAATGTTGTGGAACACAAACTTTTAACACAAAAGTCGTTCAAAATTGTAACACCAAAGGGACTAATAATTTCCAAGATGCTACATGGTCTGATCTCAGATCAGATGAAACAGGGATAGAAACAATAATTAAACATGCATGAGAAATGCCACCTTCCAGATATTTCATGAATGCTTCCGTTAAAGCTCAAGAAGTCTTGATGAGATTCAAAAACACTGTAACTCATAAAAGCACAAAAAGCTTTGGTACAGAAATAAATGCTTTGATAACACCATACCGTCCAAGGAATTTGATACTACAGAGAGTATCGGCATCGTCATTCAAATCAGCTGAATCAAACTTGGTTTCATCTTAGAATAACCCATCTAAAGTCAGGCTTTGAGTAGGTTTCACATATTGGTGTGTATAGTTGAACAAAATATGTTGATTTCAGGGATTCTGGTTGTCTTTGCATGCCTATCAGCATGTTTGTTCCTCACTAGTACAATGCCTAAAGATGAAATCAGCAATATGCAAGGTGTCATCTCTCTGTATGCATCAATGGCTTATCAAGAATCCTTCGGCCGTTGATTTTATCTGACACTGAATTCATAGGAGTCCTATCTTTGTAAATTGTAAAATCAAGAACTACTGTGACCCGCCTTGAGTACTTGCGAAGCAATTGTCACCAATTATACTGTAAGATAAATTTGATTAAGGCTTACAGCTCAGCAAAAAAGAGTAGTATACGCTATTATGAGAATGAAATTCCATCAGTAATGCATTGTCATACATCTAGAGCGCATTCTGACCAGTAAAGAAAGACAGTCAAAACAAAAGGCTGAAGCACAACATTCATGTGTTTTCTGTAAATCTTTTTTACATTTGCAAAATGTTGTGGTGCTGAAAGAACTACTTGGTGATACATCTATAAACTTCTCTTTACCATCTGACATAGCGCAGCGAGAAATCAACAATGTCCTTAAAGGTGGCACCATAAGCAAATGCTGGAACTTATGTTGGTCGATGAGGTCAATGTTCCATTTATCAGGGAGTGTACATATTAAGAACTTGATAATTCATTTGTATAAAAATGAGTTTCAGGAGGACAACTACACAAAATCAGATGAGCAACTAACCAATTTGATTGTGCATGAGCCCAGTAAGTTGGTCATATCATTCAATATCAAGGAACATAAGCATATCAAGTTCAAGCCGAAAATACAGTTTCGAATCAGATTCCAACAGCAGACTGGCTGTTCCCAGATTTTGGTGCTATGCAGCAGGGTTTTTTTTGTTATAGCAGGAAAGGCCAGAAGAGCTTTACTGTAAAAGAGAATAAGTGAAAATATTGAAGAGAGTAAATAGAATATTTCCTTTTGACTTATTTCCTTAAGTCACAAGTTTCATGCCAGATTTTAACTTCAATTAACTTTTGACTTCTGAGACTTAATAAGAGTGAAACATAACATATTAATTGCAACAAATTCATACTCCACTTTGTAATTCTTTCATTGTTCATCTCAATCTTCCAATTCTGCGCTGAGTGTCTGAATATGTTTGTTATTTATTCCGGTTGGATAAATTTCAGATTCATATGAAGGGTTCAAATCAGTCTCAATAGAGTAGCAACAGAAGTGCAGGATGAAGTATCGAATATGTGGAAGTATTTTGAATCAGATGAAAGTCATTTTTTTCCCCCTAGAACTCCAAATTTCCAGTCCTACATGACAGTTTTTAGTTTTCACAGCAGGAAATGGTGTTAATATAATAGAGAAACACAGTAGAAAATTCAAAGAGATAATACAGAGAATTACATGAGATGACAGAGAAAACAAAAAAAATATAAAAAGAAAGTGGTATGTTGAAGTTTACTTCATATTAGTAAAGCTCATATCTCAACCTTTATCTTCTAATACATAACAGTCCTTCCCCCACAAAATTAGGACTCCTAGATCCCTTGGAAATCCTATGGGGTTTTGAAGTTCCAGAATATGGCTAAACTGAATCCTGAGTAGGAATTGTGCAAAAACTCATAGATGGAACACCAGTGCTCATGGGACAAAACTGGATGACTGAAAGAAATCACATATAGTCTATGGTAATGACCTGGAGATCCATTTCTTTTGTCAAAAATGATTATCTATATAATCAATGTATATGACACTAATTCAGATGCCCTTTGACAATGCTATATGAATTTAAATACATGTTTCTTAACATATTCGGGAACGAAAACCATAGATAATTACCTCCCATCCAGGAACAAAAATCATAGATCAAGAAACAAAGTTAGCAACTCCATGTGGATTCTCTTATAAAGATCAACGGACATCGACAACCGTCATACCATTACACCCTACACAGTTTAGCAATGAAAAAGACCTTCAAATCATAGTAAAGAACTATAATTCAGATGCGAAACGCGTAACTCAAGCAGATCGGCAGCAGCCAAGGCTTTCAGATGCGCATACATACCCCAAGGTCCCACCAAAAACACAAACGAATCGGAAATCGTACTTCGATTGATCAACAGAAGATTTAGGGCTACCAAAATGGGCAACAAAGTGGTTCAGAAACAAGGCGAAAGGGCAAAGTGAGCCTTACCACATCCCGCGATCCGATCGATAACTACCTTCGATCGAGCATTGCAACTCCTCTTCCCAGCTTCTTTCGTCTTACTCTCCGTCCGCCTTTGCCGGATGTAGGAAACGGACCTCGGTTCGCGATTTACACGGTTAGATCGAATTCGAGTTTGATTTGCAATCTTGTGACCCACTTGTTCCCGAATGATTGCACCGACTCTTGTTTGGACATGGCGAGTGTTGCGATCCACCGCTCCACGTTCTCCCATTATGTTTGACGCAGACATAATAATCTCCGTGATGAATTCTCCAAGGCCATCTATCATTATATGGTTATGAAACCATGATACTAGTAATAACGGAAAGAACATAGTAAAGATCATAACACGCAATAATATTTGACATGATAGATTGACTGGTCCGACCAATGTGCCAGTCGCATTATGCTTGGTCGGATCGCCGCTCGGTGGAGTCACGTCGAGAGGAAGGAGATGAGATGTACCAAAATCCACATTAATGGATCCATTTAAGTCGGCGGCATCGGTCATAATTGATATATAATATTTCCATTTATTATAAATATCGAATCAGGTCAGTATAAATAAGAATCGTTTACGGCTGTACTATGTCGGGATACTTAGTAACAATTCTGGTAGGTGGGAATTGGGCCCAACCATAATAAATTGAGTTCTTCGCCATTTCTCGAAGCTTTTGAGACCCCACGAGCATACAATAATGAGAAATAAATATCAGCTACCTGTGTCCCGTACCCGGAATAATTATCCGCAAGTTGAACAGCAAGTAACTGTGGGCCCGGAGTCCTGAGGAAGCGTCGGCTGCTACCGCGTAGGTAAAAGACGTGGGAGAGAACCGTACGAACTGACTCCGAGAAAACGATGGTGTCCATCGAATGACCGCCCCACGAAGAAACATTGTTTCATGTCCAACAGCAGATCTCGTTGAAACGTGTCACCTTCCGCCGGCTTCGGCTTGCGCGAACGCGCGCCCCACCACGTGGGGCTGCCCCTCCGACGGGAATCGGCGGTTACTTGGGGGATGGCATAACGGCGTCATTAAACGGGCACACGGAAGCTACGCCACCGCGAATGCCGACTTACAAGTAACGGATTTGGACGTTACGTGAGGGTTCTGTGAACTGACGGAAACCGACACGTTGTTGGGAGAATCCGACGTGGCGGTTTGGTGCGACCGGCCACCGACGGAGGACACCGGGGGCGGACCGCCATAAATGGGAAGAGCTAGTGACGGTTTCTCGTCGGTGACAACAAAACCTCCTCCTCCGGTGCACATTCGTCTTCTATTCTGCATAATTTTTTCGCTGATTTGTTCTTGTTCTTCACGTTTTGTTGGCGTCAAGATCCGTCTTTTTCTCCTTCTTTCCTCCGGGAATCTCGACAAAAGCTGGTTTTTTCCCTTCCTTGGTTCTGATTTCAGAGCTAAAGTTGGACTTTTGGGCACTTTACGAGCGTTACGGCGCTGTTGTGGTGGCTCCAGCGGGGAATCGGGTTTTGTCGTGGTGGTGATTGAAGTGACAAGGATTGGAATTGGGAATCACATCCAAGCTTTGATCTTTCTTGGAGGTTTGAAGATTGGAGCAGGAGGATCCATCCTGGTTCCCAGTTTTGGAGATTGCCCTTGCATGTCGGCCAAGTGTTGTTTGGTTACCCATGAAATAGCAGTGGCCGACGGCATCCACCCACCACAAGGAGATGGAGAAGGCCAGTGGTAAGCCCCAGCAGCCGCGGCTCCGCTTGCTCGCCACCCTTTGCGCCTTGTTCTGGATCATTATCTTTTATTTCCATTTCGCCGTGCTCCGTCGCAGTAGCCCGATGAGTCCGCCGGAGCAAACCCTTTCCTTCTCCTCCTCGTTCCCGTCCAATTCCCATCAACATTTTGTAGTAGACAGCACGCCTTCTGATGAATCGCGCGCATCGCATTCATCTAAATTGAAGCCCCCGATAGCATCGAAGCCATCGGACGCCCGTCGAGAGCCGCCGCATCATCCCCTTCCCTCCTCCTCGAATTCGTCCATTCCCAAACGACAACTCCCATCGCATTCATCGAAATCGATACCGCCGCCACTGGAATCGAAGCCATCGGATGCCCATCGATCGCCGCAGAAGACCTTCCCCTTCCACCGTGCCATCCAGACGCTCGAGAACAAGAGCGACCCTTGCGGCGGGAGGTACATCTTCGTCCACGACCTCCCTCCGCGGTTCAACGACGACATGCTCAAGGACTGCAGAAAACTGAGCCTTTGGACAAACATGTGCAAGTTCACCAGCAACGCCGGCCTCGGGCCGCCCCTGGAGAACGCGGAAGGCGTCTTCTCCAACACCGGGTGGTACGCCACCAGCCAGTTCGCTGTGGACGTGATCTTCGGCAACCGAATGAAGCAGTACGAGTGCTTGACCAACGACTCGTCCATCGCCGCCGCAATCTTCGTGCCGTTCTACGCCGGCTTCGACATATCGCGGTACCTATGGGGGTACAACACCTCGGTGAGGGATGCAGCGTCCCTTGATTTGGTGGATTGGCTCATGAAGAGGCCGGAGTGGAGTGTGATGGGCGGGAGAGACCATTTCTTGGTGGCCGGAAGAATCACCTGGGACTTCAGGAGATTGACGGATTCGGATTCCGACTGGGGCAGCAAGCTGCTGTTTTTGCCGGCTGCCAAGAACATGTCCATGCTGGTCGTGGAGTCGAGCCCATGGAACGCGAACGATTTCGCGATTCCATATCCCACTTACTTCCACCCTGCAAAGGATGCTGATGTTTTCGTCTGGCAGGAGCGGATGCGGAAGCTGGAGCGGAAGCATCTCTTCTCGTTTGCAGGGGCACCTCGCCACGACAACCCGAAATCTATCAGAGGGCAGATCATAGACCAGTGCAGGAAGTCCAAGGTCTGCAAGCTGCTGGAGTGTGACTTCGGAGAGAGCAAGTGCCACTCGCCTAGCAGCATAATGCAGATGTTTCAGAGCTCTTTGTTCTGCTTGCAACCTCAGGGTGATTCCTATACAAGAAGGTCGGCCTTCGACTCCATGTTGGCCGGTTGCATCCCCGTTTTCTTCCATCCTGGCTCGGCCTATGTACAGTACACTTGGCATCTTCCGAGGAACTACTCGACATACTCGGTGTTCATTCCAGAGGATGACGTTCGAAAGAGGAATGTAAGCATCGAAGAAAGGCTAAAGCGAATTCCTCCGGCTGTTGTTAAGGTCATGAGGGAGAAGGTCATAAGTCTGATACCGGGGCTTATATATGCGGATCCTCGGTCTAGATTGGAGACTCTGAAGGACGCCTTTGATGTGTCTGTAGCGGCAATCGTCGACAAAGTAACCAAGCTAAGGAGGGACATAATGGAGGACAATGAGGACAAGGATTTTATTGAGGAGAACAGTTGGAAGTATGTTTTGTTGGAGGAAGGGCAGAGAACAGTTGGGGCACACGAGTGGGATCCATTCTTCTCCAAACCAAAGGATGGGAACAGTGATTCTGGTGGTTCTTCTGCTACAACTGCTAAGAATTCTTGGAGAAGTGAACAAAGGAATCAGTATTGACCTTCGTGTGAGAGTCACCTGGATCAGAAGGCCAGCGCTTGAAACTGCTTGAGATATACATGAAGGCAGCACGCACTATGCGAATTGTTTGTCATCCATATAAGTGTGTTGAATGAGCTGCCTGCAGATTTCTAAGAACACCTGCTGAACCTGTTCTACGAGTATAGAAGGTAGCTGCAGAAATTATCTGCCATATATAAATGTTTTGTGTTCCTGTCAGTGGTTCATTTGTTTGAGCTCTGCTTTTACATGTTCAACAAAGATAAGAATATCATGAATTTATTTCTTGTTATTGGTGAGGAAGTCTGTCATATTTGTTGAGCATGAACCCAAAGTTTGATCGGAGTAGAGATGGAGAGTTCTCTGGCTTCGCTAGCTGTAGTTTTGCATGTGTGCGCCGGCAATTACTGCTCTCGCTACCAGCTCATGGAACCCCCGTGCACGCTCGGCGGCTACGTCCGCGGCAATTCCCGCAGCTGCACCACCCAGGACTCTTCGGATTGCTGCAAAGAAGGCGAGCTGTACCCCCAGTACCAGTGTTCGCCGCCGGTGACCAGAGACACGCCCGCCCACATGACCATCGCCAGCTTCGCGCAAGGCGGGGGCGGCGGAGACCCCGCGACGGCTGCTACCACGGCGACGACCAGATGTTGGCGTCCTTGTCGACGGGATGGTGCGACGACGGCAGCCGCTGTTCGAAGAACATAAAGATCAACGCCAATGGCCAGACCGTGCTGGCCAAGGTGATGGACGAGTGCGATTCCTTGCACGGCTGTGACCAAGAGCACGCCTTCCAGCCGCCGTGTGCGCCCGACATAGTCGACGCATCCCGAGCAGTGTGGGAGGCTTTGGGGATCCCTGAATCGCAGATCGGAGACGACGGCATCACTTGGTCTGATGAATGATATGAAAGCAGGTGTATTAGTATTCCTATGCACCCCTAAGCATGTATTCCTATGCCATAATCGTACTAATAAAGCAGCCGAACAAAGCTTGCTGAAGCTAAATTTATGCAAGAATCTATGATGTGTCTCATAAATATTATCATTTCAAGACCTTAATAATTAATATATTACTGTAATTAAAAAATATTTATCCTCTTTAAGAAACCTATTAAAGAAGATATTTTGAATTAAAGGCAGACAGGCACCAATTAAACCAAAATGGTTGAGCGCCCACCCCCACCACGGCTTATATTTATAAGCAAAAGCAAAATGACGAGATGCTGGTGGCCTTGTCCATCGGGTGGTACAGCAGCAGAAGATGCTTAAGTGTTAGATTATGTAAGTGAGCTTATCTAATTAAGTAATATATTTTGATTATGATTATCGATATATAGAAAGAAAAAAAGTCTTATTATAAGTTTTTTTTTTTTTTTTAAGATGATCTTGATAGAAAGGACTCTCGTAATTACTTATTGTAGACCCTCTTCTATCATGATATTATTAAGAGATTATAGATATTCTTTAATCTTTTTTTTTCCCTAAATTTATCTTTTGTAGTGGTCTTGTCAAATGATATAAAGAAAGGAGAATATAAGTCTAATTCTTCATGTAACTTTCGAATTCGATAATATTTTGCTTACAGAACATATAAAAGTTTTTTGAGAATCATCAAAATATACATATCATAAATTTAAATCTATTATTATTAGATTTCATATTTTGATATTACAATTTTTTACATAATAAAATAATAATAATTTTTATGTTTACAATTGGTATTAGAGTCATAGTTATGAAATTAAATACTTTAGATCCATTTGTCAGCACTATTGCTGCCAATGACGATTATAGCAACAATACTACGGTAGTGTTTGTTAGCCATTACGATATCAACCGGATACTAAAGGTCATGGTTCCCAACATCTACATAGGAGGATGCACAGGCACAGGCACAATGGTGCAACATGACGAGTGGTCGGGGAGGCCACGAGCAGGTGGCAGTAGTCGTGCCTCGCGTAGCGATAGCAACACCTTGTGCAACCAACGATTGCACCTCGTGCAGTGACCGCGGACGACAGTTGTGATGCCACATGTAGGCGACGACTATGCACGACAGTTAGCACAGGCCCATTTTAGGTTTCATACAGAAATTATACTTTTACCTTTGTAAATTCATTTAGATTTAATTTATGTTCTTTTGATAATTCTACGCTTCAGAAAATTTATATTATATATCCTACCGAAATTTATACTTTTACCCTTCAGAAATTTAAAATTTCTGATTTTATGTACAATTTTATGGCATTCTATGTGGACAAATTTATTAGACGATTCTGCGTAATCTAAATGTATGGTTTCAAGTCAGCATCCAAATATGAATTTAGCATTGATTGTTGCTATGTTGAATCAAGAGTCAGATTCATAAAATCTTAACTTAGATTTTTCTCTGGATCGTTGCCGTTTCAACGTTTACCACACAGTTGTTGTCTTGAATTGCATACTATTCGATGTATATGTCTAAAGTTCACACGAGAATTCATGGGACGTATCAGTGTTTGTCAACCGACAACCTTTGATGCAGAGAATCCGTCTTCCTTGCGTGTTGCACTAAAACAGCCATCACTGACTTTTCCCAACACTTGATTCGATTGATGGTGAGGAAGTCGTCATATTTGTTGAGCATGACTCCAAAGTTTGATCGGAGTAGAGATGGAGAGTTCTATGGCTTCACTAGCTATAGTTTTGCATGTGTGCGCCGGCAATTACTGCTCTCGCTACCCGCTCACGGAACCCCCGTGCACCCCCAGCGGCTACGTCCGCGGCAATTCCCGCAACTGCACCACCCAGGACCCTTCGGATTGCTGCAAAGAAGGCGAGCTGTACCCCCAGTACCAGTGTTCGCCGCCGGTGACCGGAGACACGCCCGCCCACATGACCATCGCCAGCTTCGCGCAAGGCGGGGACGGCGGAGGCCCCGCGGAGTGCGACGGCCGCTACCACAGCGACGACCAGATGCTGGTGTCCTTGTCGACGGGATGGTACGACGACGGCAGCCGCTGCAACAGGAGCATCAGGATCAGCGGCAACGGCAGGTCTGTGCTGGCGAAGGTGGTCGACGAGTGCGACTCTGTTTACGGTTGAGAAGCCGACCAGAGTTACCCGCCGTGCTCCAACAACGTGATCGTTGCGTCTCCGGCCGTGCGGACGGCGTTGGCGATCCCGGAGGCCCAGGTTGGGGATTACGACGTTACCTGGTCTGATGCATGACGGGTGGCGCATGCAACCATCGGATAGATGCCTCATGTGGTGCTGCAGCACGCATGCAAGTGAATACTTTTCGATACTGCTTTGGTATTTAGCTTCGCATCTATGTGACTGATCTATTGCTTGTATGTGTCAAACTCATGCATCCAAAGAGCATGAATTGAACAGATCATCACATCATTAACCATGAAATTTTAAGAAATATAGATTCTAATATAGTATAAAAAGTTATGATTATTTTACAATGCATGCTTAAGAAATTACAATTTAGTTCTCAAAATATTATAATTCAATTCTTGAGATATTATGTATCTCCCGTTGCATATCATTGATCATTCCTTGGAACAATAGAGATAAAACCAATCTTTGTCTGTCTTCCCTTTCGGTAATTCGCTTGCAGGCTTTTGAGTTGTGATTGGTCAAACAGCGATAGTCAATGTTTCTGCTTTTGTCTTGACACCTTTTACAAATAGGTTTGGATTGATTGTTGCTTGCCGTTCTCCCCTTCCTCTGTTCTATTTATGAATAAGCAAAGAATTTTACACTTAAAATTTATTAAGAATGATAGGATATTGTAGATATCTTATTATATATAGATAGGATATTATTTTTAAAATTTATTATTATTTTATAGATATAATGTGTATATATTTTTTATTTGTAAGGATCGAAAGCCTGATGGGCTAATTAGCCTATCAACTTCGAACCATTGACCAAAATGCTTAAGCTGAAATTGATAATAGTACACTCATTAGACTTTTATAAGTCAATCTTAATATTATCCACTTTCAATGTGAAACTAATCAGGGGTGTTACAATGATAAATTATCATTATCTTAGGAGTTGGCTATATCTCTTCTTAATCTCTTCTTAATCTGTAAGGTTGGCTTCTCTTGATAAAGAATTCCTGGAGAAGTGAACAAAGGAAATCAGTCTGGACCTTATTGCGACATCCACCTCAGTAATAAGGCCATCCATGAGACTGATTGATGATCGACATGAAGGCAGCACTCAATGTGATTTTTCTTTTATCATCCATGTAAGTGTGTGTGTTGAATGAGCTGCCTGCAGGATTTCTAAGAACACCACCTACTGGACCTTTTCTACAAGTACAGAAGGTAGCAGCAGATGTTATCTGCCATATTTATGTTTTGTGTTCCTGTGAGTGGTTCATTTGTTTGAGCTCTGCTTCTTTCACATGATCAACAAAGATGAGAATATCTTTTGTTATGGGATACTCGAATCAGATTGTTGGATATGTTACATGGAAATGCAGATGGGGAACACTACAAGTGGATGAGTGATGACAACTAATGAAAAGCCAATCTAAACAGAGAGATGAATGATCAAAGAGAGGGACTTTATGTTCCTTCTCTATTAATTATGGCTTTGCAAGAGTGAGTCATCATCCTGTAGATGTTGGTAGTAGCAAAAACAAAGTGAGGTATGGCCATCTTCCAACAATCTATTCTGGAGATTTCTTCTGGTGCTTTCCATGAAGCTGCTCATGACTTTTCCTGGTAGAACTAATGCGACTTTCATTCCAGATCATCTGGAAAAAGGAAATACAACTGAACACTCATCCTAGCAATCAGAATGATTCGAATACTGGTTTGACATTGTGAAATCTGCATCACACAGCTGGTTATGGGAGATTAATAGATATTAGTAGGAAAGAAAAATAATCTCAGTGATCACTCACTGCCGTCACCGTTTCTGAGCTCAAACTTCATTGGGCGTCTTCGAAGGAATGCCATCGTTGTGCGAGTCAAGTCAACCCATGGCTTTCTTCGACGCCGCGATTGTCGCTCAATAGCATCAGATAGAAACTTCGTGGTGACTTGCCGTCCTGATTACGCTAAGACCAATTGTGTTCTCTTGCTAATATAAGCATGCCATGGCTTCGATCCCTTGGACATGAAAGTTCTCCTCGGAACCAAAAAGAGAGCTTACCGTGAATGAGTTTGACGCCATGGCAATTCCTCCACCTTCTTTGCTCGTCCTGGTGTTGGTAGCACACGTTTGTCTTGGCAGCTACCTCCACTTCTCTTATGCCCAACAGTGCAGCCCAAACGGGCAGATCACCGGCGTCTCCGGGGACTGTAACACCGACAACAACGCCGACTGCTGCGTGAACGGCCAGATGTACGACACCTACAGCTGCTCGCCGACGGTGACGGGGGAAACGCAGGCGCACATGACCATCAACAGCTTCGCTGAAGGTGGAGACGGCGGTGGGCCTTCCAAGTGCGACGGAAGCTACCACAGCGACAACGAGCTCGTCGTCGCGCTCTCCACCGGATGGTACGACGGCGGCAGCCGCTGTTCGAAGAACATAAAGATCAACGCCAATGGCCAGACCATGCTGGCCAAGGTGGTGGACGAGTGCGATTCCTTGCACGGCTGTGACCAAGAGCACGCCTTCCAGCCGCCGTGTGCGCCCAACATAGTCGACGCATCTCGAGCAGTGTGGGAGGCTTTGGGGATCCCTGAATCGCAGATCGGAGACTACGACATCACTTGGTCTGATGAATGATATGAAAGCAGGTGGATTAGGATTCCAGTGCACCCCTAAGCATGTATTCATTCCTATGCCATAATCGTACGAATAAAGCAGCCGAACAGAGCTTGCTGTAAGCTAAATCTATGCAAGAATCTATGATGTGTCTCATAAATCTTATCATTTCAAGACCTTAATAATTAATACATTACTGTAATTAAAAAAAATATTTATCCTCTTTAAGAAACCTATTGAAGAAACTATTTTGAATTAAAGGCAGACTGGCACCAATTGAACCAAAAAGGTTGAGCGGAGCCACCCCACCCCGGCTTATTTGTCGAGCTTCAGCAGCAGCCGATGCAACAAGAACATCAAGAAGATCAACGCCAACGGGAGGACTGTGTTGGCGAAGGTCACCGACGAGTGCGACTCGGTGAACGGCTGCGACGCGGAGAATAGCTTCGAGCCGCCGTGCCGAAACGACGTCGTCACCGCGTCTGCGGCGGTGCGGAAGGCGTTGGCGATCCCCGAAGCCCAGATTGGATATTATGATGTCGCTTGGTCTGATGCATGACTTTGATGCGCAGAAGAACGTAAACATTGCTTGGAATTGATGGTTTGCAGGTTGCAAATCTGCATGACCTGAAACACCAGAGCATGGGTGACCGATTTCTGTGAATTCTAGTTATCGATCTGCAGCTTTCAATCGATAGTGCGGCGACACTGTTGGATGTCTCCGAGATCATTGTAACAAATATAACCCATTAATTTATAAGCTTTTCCAAACAATGTTTGTAACGGAGGTAAAGTCAACCGACAGAAAGTCAACTGGACAGACCAATGTTACAAGGAAATGCTTGTTCTGCTAATTACTTCGATGCGTCTGATGATGAGTTGAATGTATCTTAGACCAAGGAACAGAAAACTATGATGATATATGGAGATTCGAGTGGGTGGGACAAACTGGACATGGATAACAAGGGATTCATCATCCAACAACAATGTCACACCACTTCTTCGCACCTGCTCCCATACACACAGTTGCAGGGGGAGGTTGGAAAATGTGCAGCCAATGTCGAATGGGAGCAGTTATTTCTCATTCTTTTTGTTGGATCTTGCGTTAGCACAAGGAACCCTTGCGGCACTGGAGAGCCCCTGCCCCTGCAGTGATGGAAGCAACCATGGAGGAGGTCTTGGCCCCGAGGCTGGAGGCCCTTGAGTAGCTTGCGGAGGCACCAGCTCCCGAAGGGGTGAAGTAAGCACCATTCAGTAGCAGGTCCCCCTCTGATCTCCAATTCCAGCTCTTCCAAGTATCACTCGAAGTGGCCACTCTCTTAGTCACCTGCAAAACAGAGCTAACTCGTGGAATATTGTGGTTGATGCTGAAGGAACTCTTAGATCCATAATCGAGACTAATTTACCTCCTTGGCAAAAGGATCGGTAGGTGCAAGGTATCTGTTGCCTTGGCTGTTGATGGTCGGATTCGCACTTCCTCCAATGGCGTACATCTCCCAGTGAGTGTAATCGTTGTTCACCACATGGAAGTAACCATGCCTGCACCTGCAATTCGTCACGGTGGTAAAACTCGATAATAAACAGGACATCCGTAATCTAATGACTTGTGTGTAAGCCTACAACTCCGGTCCCCTGCAGAGATCTTGGAGTACCTTGGCATTCTCTGAACGAGTCCTTCACCGAAATGGTTGAAGGCAATGGTCACCTGCATAGCCTTGTCCCTTTTGTAGGAATCACTGTGACCCAAAAGCATCACCTGTACAAGATTAATCTGTCACTCGAGCTCACAAAACACACGTAGCGTTCGTTACATGAGTTTCGTTAAGGAAGAGGGGAGATACCTCGTTGTGGTGGGTGAAGTAATTGTTGGAGATGGTGATGGCCGTGGAGCCCATAACGGCATCGACGAGGCCGTCGGCGCAGTTGGACAGGGAGTTGTGGTCGACCCAGATGTGGCTGGAACCGAAGATGGAAATGGCGTCGCCGTCGGCCATGGTCCTCCAGCCGTAGTGGGAGGGGGAGCTGCGGACCATGGCGTTGCCGGTGGGCTTGCAGTCGTGGATGTGGAGGCCGTGGATGATGACGTTGGTGACGAACTGGATGGTGATGCAGGCGCCGTTGGCGATGTGGACGTTGGCGCCGCGGCCGTCGATGGTCTTGAAACCGTTCATGATGAGCTCCTGCTTGAGGGCGATGACCATGTCGCGCTTGAACACGATCCAGAGGGGCTCGTCCTGGATGACGGCGTAGCGGAGTGTGCCGGGGAGGGGGTTCACGGGGTCGTCGTCGCTGGGGTCGGTCACGTGGTAGAAGCGCCCGTTGCGGCCGCCGATGGCGCTGCGGCCGAACCCGATGCCGCAGTCGGCGAGGCGCTTCCGGCGGAGGTGCCACTTGGGGTCGCAGCGCCAACAGTCGTCGATGGGGTTTCCCGTAACGCATGTGGAAAGGTCGTCGAGCGACCGGCGCGCCGTGCCGTTGCTGATCTGCCTGCTCAAACAACATTCATCATCGTGAAGAAGAATTAGTGCCACAACTACAATTGCAAGACCGATTGCAAATCGTAAAAAGAGAACATGATGATTGAGAAAGAAAGACGATGTTTAATCCCTCAAATTTGAACCACAATAAACCACAGACAGAGAGCGGTGGGGGTCTCCAGATCAACAAAACACGAAAAGGCTATACCTAAGTCAAACAATTGCTGATGCACGATCCTCGATGCGACACACCACCACCCACAAGTTTAAATGGGATCCACCTCGACGGCCATAACAACCATAGCTCGACTGGGGGTACCACTGGTTGTTACTCGATCGGATCGGCATGCGTTTGGTAACGGGAAGAAACACAGGATCGGAGAAGACGTGAGGGCAGAGAATAGGACGTGTCACGGCCCACACGCCCCAGTCCACGATGGTAATTCAATATAGACAGCCAGCCAGGAATTGCCTTTGACCGACCGAAACAACTCATTTTGCAACTAGGAAAGGAATCCGACGTACGCGTAGTGTTCATAGGAATCAAGTCAGAAGCAACAGGAGATTGATCCGAGATTAATGTATGCGGCTCCAATTTGCTTCTTTGGTATACTTGTAATAACTGTAAAAAGAAGGCAACAAAGTGGTGGGCTTACATGTTCACTTTTGACGCTATAAATTCTGGGTCGTCCACCGCGCCAACCACCACGTCACTTTCGAACCTGGTTCACTTAGTGGACTCAACAGTCAGTCGCTGTAATCGTTCGTTCCACATTTCGATCGAAGAGATGATAGAATTATTATTATTATTATTATTATTATTGTTATATATATATAAATTAAGAGATGACCTGACCTCTGCGCCGTGGCGGAAGAGGTGTCGTTCTCCGCGGTTGCCGTCACGCTCCGCGGAGCCATTGCCGCAGCAGCTCCGACCCTGAAAGAGACTCGAAGACATTAGACCAACGTTTGAACTTTGGATCGAAGGTGAGATCACCGAATTCGCTTGAACTCCCAAACAGAGGAGCGAAGAGAAGGCAAAGGGTTTCCCACACGCCATAGCTCCTCACGATTCTTCCAAAAGACCAGCACAAATCGATGATCGGAAAATGTACCTCGAGGGGAACGATTCCCGGCCTCCCGTAGATAGGATCACGAAGAGACCGAGCAAAATCAGCGACGACGACCTTCTCCGAAGCACCATCGCCATCAATGCCGTTGCCTCCGTAACCTCCCTTTCCTCTTCCCACGCAGATCGGTAGCTTTCTCTCTATTCGCTGTCAGTCCACAGGGAGGTATAGAAAGGTCAAGGGAAGGGAGGGAGTCCAACTGAAGCCGACGACGGAACCGCCATCTTATAGGGACGTTCCACTCTACTTCTACCCCACTCCCCAACTTAACGGGCGTCACCTTCGCTAACGGCGTGAGGGGGGCACCGACGACGACGACGGTGCGGGCAGCGTCAATTCGTGCGATTGACGCCCCAACTAATATTAACCGTTCGGTCCAACTGAGCTGGGGCCGGGGTGACACGTGTGATGGCGTACCAGCAGGAGCCGGTTGCTGCGGCACTAGTTACGAGCGCTAACTCACGGGTCGACTCGGTGCCAACTGGGCAACCAGAACGACCAAAGTGGACCGAGTTGACTGTGTCATCCGCTTGTCGTCTCTCTCGCTTTTAATATCGTGGTGTAGCAATGCTGCAGGTCTCCATAAATGGCGCAGCAAAGATGGGTTGCAGGGGAGGATATCGGCAACGAGAAATAGAAACCTTTTCGTCGAAGCTACCACCCTGCATGCATGCTTGAGTGCACCCAAAGGCTTCAATGGAATTATGGTGTTTGGCCAAGTTATAAGCATGGACCGGTTTGGATTTTGATTTGAGTTAAGATTTAATGTTCAGAATAATCGGTAGTGGTGTCAAAGCAAATTTTGCTCGTTTGATATAATTTTCACATCTGATATAGTCGTAATTATATTGATTTAATAAACATGATGAAATATTTTACTTCTTAATTGAGGAATCGCACAAGACTGTTCATTTTTATTTGATACATCATCATCATCATCATCATCATCATCATCATCATCATCATCATCGGATCACTAAACTTTTAGAAATCATTCCTTCGTGATGTCGTGCATTATATGAAAACCGGAAACAGAGTCATGTAAAAGGAGAATTGCTTGGCCCGTTCGTATCAGTGCATATCATACTGTACCTTAGTGCAAGATCACGGAAACATTTCTCCACATTTTCTCGTGTCTTTGCACTGCACTCGAGAAACACCTACCCATTTGTTTTCGCCAAGGCACTTGCTTCTTCCCTTGTCACCTTCCTATCACTCACCTTGTACGTATCTGCACAGAGCAGTGGTTAGGATCGCGATGGTGTGCATCGCAGCTCCACATAATGCAATGAGAAAGTCACAAAGAGAAATGATTGAGTCGTGGTTAAGTTACAGATAAAAGCAATCTTCATAAGGATGGCCGCAAGCTACGGCAATGATAAAGCAACGTAGATAATGGCATAAAACATGCAACTAGTTTAGAGGAATGAAACTTGATCTGGGGAACCATGAATGAAAACATAAAAGGGAGATGGGGTAACCCATGATTATTCCATGCGCGCATCGATAGTAATCTTTAGTGACCGTCCTATACCTCTGTTGTCCAGCTGCAAAAATAAGCAATTATTGTTGTTATTATTATTATATCTAAAAAGAGCATGAATAAACGATCTTATCGTAGATCCATTGTGATCTTGAAATTGTCTAAAAATGGAAACAGCAACCCTAGTCGCCATCTTCATATCTGGTTTACTTGTAAGCTTTACTGGGTACGCCTTATATACCGCTTTTGAGTAACCCTCTCAACAACTAAGAGATCCATTCGAAGAACACGGGGACTAGTTGAAGTAATGAACCTCTCATATAGGGAGACTCGTTACTTCAATTGAGATAATGAAAAATTATTTACCTCATTAAAATAAGCATAATATGGAATCATTCCGTCAGACAAATCATAAGTAATGACATGACAAGTGCACCGAAAGAACTCAATGAGCTTCAAATAAAGAAGAAGAAGAAGAAGTGATAGCAGAAAAAATTTTCCTAATTGTATGACGAAATCTCTTGAGGGAAATTCTCCCTCTCAATCTGTATAAATAGGGAGAGAACATGTCAATGCAAGATAGCTTCTTCAGTAATCTTTATCTTATATTCTCTTTTAACATGGTATCAGAACTATCGGGTAGTCCCCGAGCAGATCACCATGAAGCTCCACTTCTAACATCTCAAAGTAACTTCCCGTCGAGATTCCACCATGTTCTTTTAACAAGCAGTGGGAGAACATGCATCAACCATGTTCTTCACAATTCAAACTGATCGGTGTCCCATATGGTAAGCTTCAGTTTCTTGCCATTGATACTCAAAAAATTTTATTTTAGATTTTTTTTTCTCAAATAATTCCTTTTTTTCTCAAACGGTGTTTCTAATTAAAAAAATAGAAAAAGCCAGCGATGATGAGGTGAGCACACCGAGGCTGGGGCGTTGGCCGCCCACGAAGTGAGAGGTGAAGCTGGTCTTCCCCACCGATGAGTCCCTTGTCAGCACTATCTTGAAGGCGTAATCGTAGCTCTCCGCCGACGACGAACCCATCTCTCGCCTCTTCTGTTGCTGATGCTATCGAGTAGGGAGGGAAGACAAGAAAACAATTAATCGCTTCTTCGATGTCTCTCCTCGACCACTCAGACTGCCGGTGGTGGTGGTGGGATTTATAGCTAAGCGGAGAGAGAAGAGAGAGCGTCACTCGAACGAAAGCATGCGTGACATAGTGTCTGAGATCACTTCATGAGACCATTAGGATTGTTAGGGGCCAGTAACAGTTCTCCTCAACAAGATAAAAAGAAAGGCCCGGAGGAATCCTTGATGGTTTACCTATTTACGCTGTTGAGTTTGAGTGCTTAGCAATGTGTGAGCGGGTGAGAGCGTCAGCCAATTGCTCAGACAGCAAAAAGAAGGGCCATCTTTTTAGTGGCACATAGCATGCATGCATGAGCAAAGGATGTGCAAATTCCAAGTCATAGATCTACCGGCTGGTGGCACTATGTCCGCTCACGCAATACACATGCCCGAGAATGCCTATCTGCGATGCCCACATGAGAAATGAAGAGTTCATAAGCTGAATCGAACATGTGCAGAAAACAGAAGAACCTCATTTAAGGTTCCCACTTAATGTTCATCGTTCCGATCCGATTCCTCTTTGCTTAGCATTTTGTCTTCAGAAACACCAACGTCTGCGGGCTTTGCATATTTTTGACAGTGTTCTACATGTTAAGGGGAAAACAACTACACTAAGAAACACAACATTGTTAAGCCAAGGAAATAAAACATGTATATGATGTCTCGATCTAAACAAAAATATATCAAGCACAACACAGAAACCTGTCACCTTTCACTTTCTGTTCATAAGCAGAATGATCAGTGATCATTAGTTCTGCAGCTTCCTCATTCAGTGGGTTCAAAGGGTTTGGAGTCAAAAGAAATTGTGTAATGTAATTTTCGAACACAGTGAGAAGATCTGACAAGAGAGTTGCAGAAAGATTATCTTGAGAAACTATATGACAAACATATTATGGGTGGAAACAACAAGCAGCAAAGATCTTACCGATCATGGGGCTCCAATCTTCATGGAAAACATTCACACAAAGTTCACCGGACCTGAATGAAGTCCAAGAATTCCAACCTTGAGACTCAAAAGTGACAGGAAGTGGAAGGGTTACCAACAGAAGGGATCACTTGAAGACTCACTCGTCGTCTACATTAGGATGAAATATATTGTTAACAAAGTAAATTGATGGAGATTTAAAAGGGTATTCGTCTGGGAGTTCCACCCTAAGCTTCCACACACCTCCTTCATAAAGACCTGCCAAGCTCGACGATCAGAAACGGGAAACACTCTTTATATCAAAAGCTAACAGACTAAAAGAATCGATGATGAGGCGATATATCAATCATCTCAAAACCAACAAGACATTAACTTCGTTTGTCGAAAGAAGAACCACAAAGAAAGCAGATCGAGGGGCAATAAAGGCCGCAGATGGTTTCTGACTCCCTGCATTACATCAAGAAAGTGAAAGATTGGTTCGATTCCATCTTTGCCCAAACAGTCGAATACCGGAAAGGAAGAATGAAAAGCCAAGAAAACCCGGGTTTGAGAGAAACTCAAAGGGAAAACGAGAGATCGACGTGTGTTAGATGGAATACTCTCTTTGGGGCCGTGCAGATAAACAAAGAACTTTTTCGAGTCATCGGTCTCCATCTCCACCTTGTAGTCTTTCATCATCCTACGCACCACACGAAACAGAAACAAGAATCAAGCAAGACCCCGTCGAAGTCATCGGGTGGAAGCCATTTTCCTCTTACAGTTTCGTGATGTCCTTCTGGCGGCGATTCGTCGTAGCCGACATTCCCGATCCTGCTTCCTTGTCCGGCTCCGACGTGGCCGAGAGGAAAGGGGAACGGGACTGGGGTGGGCGCTCTCGAAAGCTTCTTCTCTGTTCTCTGCTCTCTGCTCTCTGCTCTCTGCTCTCTGCTCTGCAAGGGACGAAGATGAGGGACAAGGGCTTGGAAATGGGGGAGGGAGAAGAAGAAGGGCGCTCCCGCCCTGACGTCTTTGAATCACCAATCGTGCTCTAAACTCTCGACATCCCACCTTTTCTGATGTCATCTAACTGCCCTTCCCTTCTCCCACAACCACCAATTTTCTTAGTTGGCAACCCTCATTTTTTATTTCATGACCCTTTTACTGTTGTTCATCCTTTAAAAATATTAAAATATAATTTTATTATTTATAATATATAAATTAACAAGTATATATTTATTTCCCATAATCTCTTATCTCATCGGTTGAAACTTTACTCAGTGCTCATGATTAGGAAGAGAAAAATAAAGGCATATTTATATAAGAATAATATTTTAAAATATTACAAAATTTAAAATGAGATTATAAATAGTAAAATAATCATTAATGCAAGTCTTCTT